TAGAGTTGCTTTTTAAAGGAAAACTATTAAATCTGAATTAGTACTGGTAGGAGCTATAGTAGGCCGTTGGTTTTACCAGAAGATACTACTTTAATCTGAAAAGTAGGACATTTAAAGAGTAGTTGCTCTCAGTTCTAAGAATCCACAAGCCATGCAGTAATAATTTTAAATAACAGATTTGTGAAAGAAATTGAGAAGGATCATTGAGAACTTGCCAAGTTGAGTCTTAATTTTGCAGGCTGCTAGATTATTTGTTTTACACACATCTGGAGCGCCAACAGTGACACTAGTTTCTAGTTTTACCCTACCAACTAATAGAGTAAGTTGGAAGCATTACAAGGGTTGATGGTTCTTTGCAGAAGCTGGTCTTTGTTTTTAACAGTGGATAAACAGCATGAATATTTATAAACCTTTTTTGCCATTCGTGAAAACAATTTGCACCCAAGAAATTATTAGACGAGACTTCAGAGTAATATTCATTTTGTAATTTTATAAAGGAGTATTTTGTCCTGTAATCATCACACTTGGTTTCACTAAATAGCTTTTCAATTTCTTTTCTAATAATACTGTATAGGGGAGGGATATTGATGAATTGCTGCTGTCTTTGATAGCGTTTGACTGACTTCTGGTTTTTCTTTAGGGGGAAGCTGGGGCGGTATCCCCCTTGGCCAGGAAAGGTAAGATCTGAAGAATCTTACACAGATTCTAATCTGTTCTTTATCGTCTGGTTCTCTTGCATATTCAAACTGTTTAAACATTTCTTTTTGTTTCACTGTAAGCATTTTGGCAGGTTTCAAAACAGATTAGGTACAGTCACTTAAGTTTTTATCTTAGTTTCTGCTGAACAAGTTTTCCCCTAGCTTTTTTTTAGGACTTTGTTTAATAAAGAGCTGACTTTTCAAGATATCAGACAGGAAAATAAATTCCTCGAATGTGCTGGAACCTTAATAAATGTACAGTATAATTTATTATAGCTGTAGTTCTGTTTTTCAAAGGTGAAGTTTAGATCTGACTTATGTCCACCCGTCGAGCCATAATTTTACTTTGTGATAAATTTAGAACAGCTGGGAGGTACGGACAAAATGTATTTCCGATGAATGCTGTTGGAGAGAGCAGGGACTGTTTAGTTAGCAATCAATTGTTCACCCAAGTTATTTAGCAAGGGGGGGCATACAGGACATTATTTCAAGGTGTGCAGCTTTCCTGTTATGCTTCCTGGTCATGTAATTGCTAGCTCTCCTGCCAGAAAGCATGTTCTGCACCCTAACTCATTATTTAGCTTTAAATCTCCTGTAGTGCTGCTCTAAATCCTTCTCTCCATCTCTGGCCAGTTCCAGCATGGTGGCATTTTAAAAACCGAGATAAGAATGATTAGTGTAACCATGGTTATGGTTCTCCCATACAAGTATTGAGTGGGAACTTGTGCTCTGCACACTTAACCTCTTAGTACATTTTTTTCATTGTTTTCTTTATTGCTACAGCATGACTTCTGAATAATGCTTTTTCCCCTTCCCTTCCCTTTCCCTCCCCCTTCCTTCAGAAAAATCAAAGCAATATGCAATAAATATGACCAATGCTTGGATTTACTGCGTGGAAAAAAGATGCTATCTTTAAAATGATCATAAACTTTCCTAGTGTGGCTTGCACTTAATCAAGCAGCATACAGATCGTCCTTGCTTATTGACCGCTTGTTCAGTGGCTGTTCAAAGAGACGACAGCACGGAAATAGGTTTACGGCCAGGCCTTGAATTTATGGCTGTCGCAATGTCCCTGCGGTCACATGATTGCAATTCAACTATTTGGCAGCTGGCATTCATTTATGATAGTCACGGCATCCCCACAGTAATGTGATCACCATTGGCAACCTTCACAGCTGGCTTCCAAAAAACAAAGTCACTGGGGAAGCCGGCAGGAAGTTCCCAAGTTGCAGTCACGTGATTTCACGCTTAATGACTGTGGGTGGTTTACTTTACAACCACAGCTGGAACTAACCTAAGTTGGGCTTGGCCATGTAATATTTCACTTTAAGATTGTGAATGATTGTTAGTCTGAATTGTGGTTTGTAGGTGAGGACTACCTGTATGCCTTTTGTTTTATGTGGCATCCAGACTTCCAAACAATAATTATTGTTACATTGTTTTATGAGCAACCTAGTCATTATCTTAGGTGGTTTATGAATTCTGACCCAATCAGTGCGTTTCCATTTGCCTAGGCCAAGGGTAGGCAACCTTGGCTCTTTTATGACTCGTGGACTTCAACTCCCAGAATTCCTGAGCCAGCGATGCTGGCTCAGGAATTCTGGGAGTTGAAGTCCACGAGTCATAAAAGAGCCAAGGTTGTCTACCCCTGACCTAGGCCTAGAGCCCTTTATGGGGAATGCAACAGTTGTGTTCAGCTAAACTAAGTCTAGTATCTTTAGTGAACCGAGCCATGAAATTGCCATATTTAATCTATACCAGAAACACATAATCGCTAAACGTGATTTCACAATACACAAGTCCTATTACATACAGAAGTGATGCTTGTAAAGTCTTGTTTGCTGTTGCTTTGGGTAAGTGGAGGTTTTTAAGGTACATATCAACTGGAGCCCCTAATGATGCATATGGGTTTGTACAAAAGTGCGTTTGTGCCTTCGAGTCAGCTTTTGACTCCTGGCGACTGCCCGGATTAGTCCTGCAGTTTTCTTGGCCGAGTTTTTTACAAGTGGCTCGCCATTGGCTCTTTCCAAGGGTTGAGAGAGCGTGCTAAATCCAAGGTCACCCAGCTGACTTTGTACCTAGGAACATGAAATTGTGCTCTGTTTCCAGCCTGGCCCCTTAACTATTACTCTCAAAAACCTTAAACATGGACCTTAAAACAGAAGCCAGTACTTCTGACTTCAGACACAGAATAAACCAGAAACCAGAATTCAGTTGGATAGAAGGTTACCCTGAGCAGGTTCTGTTGCCCTCTGGATTTGTGGGAGTACCACTGGAGCCAGGAGCTTTTATACTTCCTGCCTTTATCTGTGGTTTTTCTCCAGAGGTTTGCGTGGGAATCTCCTCCACTTCTATCCCCAGAGAAGTAGGTAAGATTGGGAAAGAGTGATTAGCCCAAAGTCACATGGTCAGTCTGCAGTCAAAGAAGAATTTGAACTGAAGTTCTTCCCATAGCACAGTTCATATTATTGCTCTCTGTGGCACTATTACAAATCTCTCTTTAATTTCCACAAAGTTTGACTCTTATTTCAGAACGGTGACTTTCAAAGCACAACAATTCTGCAGGGAATACCAAATGAACATTGAGGGAAAAAAATCAGTGTTATCTCTCTTAACATGTTGCTGTCTCCCTTTCCCCCTCTTTTTTTCCAGATTGTTAACCCACCCAAGGACCTGAAGAAACCACGTGGGAAGAAGTGCTTCTTTGTGAAGTTTTTCGGAACTGAAGACCAGTATGTGATCCTCCCCCCCCTTTTCCCCTTTTATCTGGAAGGAAAAGAAAAAAACTTTTTAAACTTTGGAGCCTTTGTAGAGAAGCTCTTGCTCAAGTACCAGAATTTCACGTCTTTCTATTAAGTTCTTAGCCAGTAGAAAAAGATGCTTTAGAACCTGTGTTAAAGATGAGTAACTGAATCTGGCCCATGAATGGATTCCCACCCATTGGCTAGGAGACAGCCAACCCAAAAGGGGCTTCCTTTTGATCTGAAGTTAGAATCAGGGAGTGTTCTTCTGAAGACCCAGGAAGGTAGGGTGAGATCAGCCTCTCCTTCCTCATGGGATATGACTCCTTGTTGTAGATAATTCAAAAAACAGTTGGGAAGAGTGATCAGATAGGGAAGGCAGGGCATTGGGTCCCTTAAGGTAGATGGCACCATCTTGTGTCTCTGTAGAATTTAAAATAAACACAGCAGCAGCAGCAGCATCAGACATTGATAGAGGTTGATTTCATCGGCATGTTTGGAATAACATGTTCAGTTCATTCCATCTTGGAAAGGACACCCCACCACTGGACAACGAAAGATTTAATCTGTGATCAGGGAACTTTTTTTTATGGGGACTGGGAATTTTAAAAGATGGTATGGGGGCAGTTGATGAAAGCTTAATTTAGAATGACTACAGTCTGAGAAAACATAGTTTTAAATTCTTCAACCGAGCTTTATTCAATAAAATTGTAAAAGTGAAAAAAAAATGGAATTTTATTACTGTTTGGGTTACAGTACAATCTGTAGGTTCAACCCTTAGGATACTGCAGTGTTAAATATTAATTCTAGCCAGCCAGATGATAATCTGGTGCTGTTAAAGTAGTTTCATTTGTTCACAGCTTGTGAAGTCTTTGAAAGGCGGTTCCACATGCTGTATCGCTCTTTAAATGGAAAGTTTAGCTCTCTTTTGCTTTGAAATGGGGGCTGTATCTGAAATGCTGTTCAGTACCAGCACAGATTAGTGAACAGATTGCAGCTGAAAGGGTCAGTTTTTCCAAGTAAATTATGCATGGCTCAGAAGTCAGCTTGGAAAAATCTTATCACTTGCTGTAGGAGATCAGCTGAAATGTGGAGTTTTGGAAAAATTAATTGAGTTCTGCTATAAAAAGAGCTCTGTATGCCCTGCTCTTTTAATGGGCATAAAATATAGTAAATGGGAATTAAAATTCCAAAAACAAAATTGGATTTCTAGCTTCCACAACAAATACATGTTTACTGATACTGAAATTCCCCTGTACAACAATTCATTTAGTGACCATTTGAAGTTATGACGCTGAAAAAAAGCGACTTACGACCGACCGTTTTTCAGCATCCCTATGGTCATGTGATCAAAATTCAGGTGCTTGGCAACTGGCCTGTATTTACGACAGTTGCCGTGTCCTGGGGTCATGTGATCTTTTGCAACCTTCTGACAAGCAAAGTCAATGGGGAAGCCCGATTCAATTAATCACCGTGTTACTAGCTCAACAACTGTAATGATTCACTTAGCTGTGGCAAGAATCGTTGTAAAAACTGGAGCTCACCTCACTTAACCACTGTTTCACTTAGCAGCAGAAAGTTTGGGCTCAATTGTGGCTGTAAGTCGAGGACTACCTGTATTGGAAAACTAGCATGTGGAAATGCAGACTAACAAGCCTGGAGGATGTCTCGGTTGCTTCTCTGAAAGCATTTGGCAGCATCTGTTAACCTAAGGAAGCACAGTAGACCTCTTCCTTCCCCAAGGAAGTTGGCTTTCCTTCATTCCTACTAGTCTCCATTTCAACATGGCAGCTTTGGTACTGGAGCCAGCAGACGTGCTCCAAATCTTCTTCATGTACCTGCTAGATAATTGCCCTTAATATTTCTCTCTCTCTCTTGTCTGCATGATATATGTACAGCATGAAAACCAGCTTGTATCATAAGGAAGGGCTAAACGGCTTATTGAAATTTAGCAGAACAGTTGGGCTTAGTTTCAGTTAATCAATGCTATAAATTTCCCCGGGGTTACATTTCATCTGGGCAGCAATTCCAGTTTCCTGAAATGCCCTCAACCCAGTTCTGCAGTGACGATGAGATACCGAACAGAATCATACCTACTTATCTACCTAGAGTAGTTTGATTCTTTCTCACGTACTCAGCTATATTTTGAGCCGCCTAACAGTTATTGAAATGGTCCTATTTCTCTTTTTTGCTTGTGAACACGGCAGGGATTTGAAAAGAGGTATGTCAGCTCAGGTTAATAAATAATCCTGTCTTTGCGCATGGTTCTTCAGTGCCATCGTGAGGTCTCTTTTTCCTGCATGTGACCGCAAATAAAAGTAAATGAGCATTACGGGTTGTGTTATTATCGCAATATGACCATTGCCGCAAATTCTAAATCAAATGTTGAAACTTCAGAGGGTACAACATGAATTGTTAAGTGGTTAGTTAATGAATTGTTAGTTAATGAATTGTTAACTAATAGTAAGATGGAAACGTTTTGAAGGAGTTATTGGTGTGATCGTTAAATCACAGAAGAAACTTTTGTTTGTACCTTCTCTGTGAATGAATTTCTGATACGTAGAATTCTGTTTTAGTAAAATGTTTTCCTTTGATTTCAGTACCAAAGGAATAACGCTGGCTATACAAAGGCTCTCGGAAGTACAGGTAGTCCTCGACTTACGACCACAATTGAGCCCAAAATTTCAGTGGTTAATTGAGGCAGTTAGGTGGATTTTGCCCCATTTTACCATCTTTCTTGCCACGGTTGTTAATTGAATCCCTGCCGTGGATAAGTTGGTAACCCGGTTGTTAAGTGAATCTGGTTTCCCCGTTGACTTTGCTGGTCAGAAGGTTGCAAGAGGGGATCACGTGACCCCTGGACACTGCAACCGTCATAAATATGAGCCAGTTGCCAAGCGTCTGAATTCTGATCGTGTGATCATGGGGATCCTACAAAGGTGGTAAGTGTGAAAATGAGTAATATCTTGACCAAGCATCTGATTCTGCATTCTCTATATGGAGAGAACTAGAAAGAGTATGATGATATTTGAGGCCCATATGTTAGAAGGGTCTTGAAGCTTCTTGAGAAGAATGGTTTAATATTCTAAAGCAGGGGTGTCAAACTGCCGGCCCACGGGCCAGTTTCATCATACCGGAGCCGCGCCCACCCCACTGCCGGCAATGGTGAAAAAGCTCCGATACGTCACACGACATCATGTGACGTCGCAAGTTTGACATGCCTGTTCTAAAGTATCAAGCCTTCTGTCAGTTGAATAGAACAATATTACATTTGTCAGAGCCAGGAGGTTCAGACATACTCTAAAAGTTATTTCCTACATCATTTTAGTCAGAAAGCCCTTATTCCTTGCCATCTGCCTTATATCTGTTATAAAAGTGACATATCTAATAAATGCAAAGATCCCTGAAGTGCTGCATGAATATTATTGAAGGAAGATGGTCCTTTCGCTCTAACCAGCAATTTGACATTTTGTCAGTGACAGTGATACCCATGTACAGTGAGTTCTGCACATCTCATGAAAAGTGGAACTAAGTGGATTTTGCATTTCTAGGAACCGTGGATTCCCCATACGGTTATGAAACATTCAATCTAGATGAGGTTGAAAATGGGAATGTTCAGCCTACTTCTTTTCAAGGCTCTCCTGCAGGATAAATCAGTCTTGCACTTTCTGCCATATACATGCAATTTCAAACGGCCACTAAAGGAATGGTTGTTACTGCACACATGCACTCCTCATTTGCTTATTTTTATGCATTTGGGGGGTTGTTTCTTGGTAATGTATTTTAACATTCACGTTGGTTCTTCAGAATTCTATTAGGCATATTAATTTTTTGATTTCATGTTTGATGCGCCCATTTGGGTTCTGTTTCCTCTTGGCACCCAACCCCAAAGTCCATTGTTAGGGGACCCAGAGACGTCCAGTTATGGACAATGAAATTCCAAGACATGCAGTGGTGTTTAGTTTGAGGATATTCGGTCCAGTCTGAAACATCAAACACTGATGTTTTTTCAAGGTACCATTAAATTGAAGTATCTGGGATAGCTTCGCCCATTGCTTAAATTGGTCACCACAAAACGAGCAGGAACTAGAAGGGAAGCAGAGCCTCAGTTGAAAATGAACAGTGATTATCCCTAAATCTCGTTCTAAAAGTAAAGCAGAACAAATGGATTACAATTTAGAAAGTGTTAGCGATAAAAACGTGTAATTTTTTTTTTACAACAATCAGATTTTTATTAGCCCCTGGGCAAATTTCATTCCTGAGGATGAGGCCTATGCACTATGCACTATTAGTACAGCATAAAAATCATACTAAGGTAATGGGATGTCCTGTATCTGGGTCAGCTTCGGTGGTGTCTTGTTGTTTCTCAAGAAGGAGAATGGTTTTGACAGGGCGTTAGATTTTTTCCCCCCCGCTGGCTACTGGATCAAGAGAGATGCCGTTGTAATTGAAAATGATAATTCTGTTTCTTTTGACTGCGAACAATTTAATTCTGATTTCTTTTCACCAGTGCTTGGATTAAAGTAGAGCAGCTGAAACCTTACCATGCCCACAAAGAAGAAATGATCAAAATTAACAAAGGCAAGAGGTTCCAGCAAGCTGTGGATGCTGTGGAAGAATTCCTCAAGAAAGGAAAAGGCAAGGACCAGGTAGGTGGTCCTTCAGGGGGCTGTGCTAACTTACCCTCTTCTTTGGAATAATGGTTGGGGGTGAGCTACCTTATGACCGTTTTTGCTTCCTTCTCCGAAAGGGGTTGCATGTTTTGTCTCTAGGATTGTGACTTGAGGAACACAGTTAGGCTCACCGTTGCCGCCTTTGAAAGGTTGTTAATTTTCACAGTTGCCGTTCCCGCCTTGGATTGATCTGGATAAAAGGAGATCAAAGGGTCACTTGATCCTAGAGCACTTGGAGGTTATATCTGCTGTGCACTCTGGAATTGGGACCTGGTTCGTCTTCAAAAAGAGCTCCCGGTGTAGAGCATGTGGCTGTACTTTGAGCTTCTCCTTGTTCTCTTGGTTCAGTAGCTTAAACCTGTTAAATTTTTTTTCCCCCTTAATTCGGGGCACAAACACCTGGCAAGACACCTCTCAGGTTTGGTGAGTGTGGGGAAATTGAAGCCACTGCCAGCTGATGCCCCGCCTTGTCCTCATCCCTTCTGTTCTGTGATCTCTCAGGCGTCTTCCCATAACTCCGCTGAAGAGAAGAACCGGCGGAATCCCAGTGAAGAGAAGGGGAAGCAGTCAGTGGGAGAGGAGAAACACAAAGCTGGGTTGTCAGAAAAGAAACCGAAAAAGCGAGCCGCCTCTGTGTCCTCTGAGCGAGGATCGAAACCCCCCCTGAAGAGAATGTACAAGCAAAGCCCCCGGAAGCGAGGGCGCCCTCCCAAAGACGAGAAGGTTTGTGTTTTGCTGCGCATTCCTTCCCGTGCTCGCTCTGAGCGTGTCCAGATGGAATGTAGTCCTATCCTAGCGGCCGTCCAGACGACTTCATTGTTGTGACCATTTGGAAAATTGCATGTCTTAACCATTTGGGAACCTACCGTCTAATTCCATTCAGAGTCATAATTACTTGTATTAGCCGGCCCTTGTGCTTAGTTACTAAATCCGACATTTTCTTTTGACTTGTTAAAGCCAACAAGTGACACCGGGCTTCCATCTTGCTGCGTACCAGCGGAGGAAGTGGAGACACAGTTTTTTTTTGTTGTTTTTTTTTACCGTTGGTAGTTCCAAAGCGCCTTCTGTTAACATCTCCATCTCATTTGTGTGTCTGATCCATCTCCAACTACATAAGGACAAGTTGCTTAAATTGTAGTGTGATATGATGAAGAAAACACTCCAGAAGTAGATGATTCCACCAGAAGACATCAGTTCCTCACATTTTCTTGCCAATATTGGAGCTTTCTCCTCTCCCATGTTGTGGTCTCTGACTCATCTTTGGACATGTAGAGTTCACTTGTAGAACATTTGCCTCTTCTCTCCTCTTCAAGATTTGGAGCCTCCATACTCTAGCTGGGGACCTTCTCAATGTAGTTGTAAACAACAAAGTGGATAATGCTAGAATGTACGTCCTTTACTCGGTGCTGAACCTGAAAGTCATTATGAAACAGAACAACCAAGATATACTAGAATTTCATACCACATATCCACAATCAAACTTTATACCACTTCTGTCTTGCACAGCCTTTTCCAGTTCACAGTTGTGAATCTGCTTCTTCTTCTCACTTGGGATTTAAATGCTGACGGCTTTCAGAGGCAATCTTAATATCTTGCTGGTGACAGACCAGATTCCTGTCTTTAAGTAGGGTTTTGAGTTCTGGAGTTTTCTTCATTGGGGTTTGCACTTTGGTTACACAGAGACTTTTTTTTTTCCTTTTAACTTTACAATTTGCTAATTACCATGAGGTTTATCAGTGGCATTCTTTGCTTTAGAATTGTGAACGAAGCTTTTAGAGTTTAATCTGGAAGTACAGAAACCTGCTTAAAGATTGAGTAACTATTGGCTAGAGTTGTTGTTTTGTTTTTAACAGTCTTAACAATAACCAGCGTGCCTTCAAGGACGATGATGATGTTGAGGGCTTTTGCCTGGGTTTCTTTTCCAGAGTGAAGAGGGTGGCAGAGAAATTGTCGTGAAAGCTTTTAGCATTCTGGGAAATTAATAAAATGGCATCTTCTTCCTTCCTCTCTTCCGCCCAGAGACCTTTTTTTATAAGGCATTCACTCATGCATATCCTAGACTCCATTAGTCTGTCCTGTGATGCTTTTGGTAGTCTGCTTTCTTGATGATTCTTGATCAACTGTCATCCCTGCATCACTTCCGGCTTTGAGATTTTGTGGAAGGACATTTTCAACCTTCATTGTATGAAAGAGAACCTGACATGAATCCTGATTGTAAGGAAGGAAAGCCTGAAATGTATTTTTTTAAAAAAATAGAGGTGGTGGTGGTGATGGTGGTGACGGCGGCTGTTAAGCACTTCTGGTCCCTGAGTTGTCTTGGTAACAAAAATTGCTTTGGTTATCGTTGTTGGATCTTGTAGAGTTGCATAATATTGGAAGTGGGTTTTGAAGGCTGGTGGAAAATATGTCGTGAAGAGATCTGTAATGGAGGATAAGAGTATTCAAAGCAAAATAGCTTTTTACTTGTAAAACAATGGAGCTAGAGCAGTGGTGGCGAACCTATGGCACTCAGAGCCCTCTCTGTGGGCACGCGCGCCATGTCCTGGAGATGGCAACCGTCTCTCTTCAACCAGCTGCCCGCTAACTCGCCGAGGTCCCATGTGGCCGGATGCATCCCAACATGGCTGGTTTCCCTCCCCCCGTCCCATCCCTCCTGGCCTCGCATGCTCTCCTTTTCCTTGGCATGACCCACTGCATCGCCTCCTCAGCTGTCGGCCAGCAGTCCAGCTCAGAGGCAGCTTCTTTGAACTGCTGGTGGCGGGCTGCAGAGCCCCAGAGTGCGCCGGTCGAGGGGCCGGCAGGCTGTGGTTGTGTGTGCAGGGGCTGATGGTGTCGGGCAGCAGGCACCTCCGCCCTGCCTCGCCTTGCCTCACCCCGCAGGACGAGCCTCCTGCCCACTGCCCCACCTGCCAGAGACCCCCCGGATCTCTCCCAACCCTGCCCGGCCCCCACAGGCGTCCCTCCCCACGAGCAACATCGAGGTGGCCATGCCCACCCAGTCTGCCATGACCACAGCCACACCCACCCAGTGGGCCACGCCCACCTGGCACCCGACGGTGCATAAGTGGGTTTTGGGTTGCAGTTTGGGCACTTGGTCTCTAAAAGATTCACCACCACTGAGCTAGAGGCTTATAAGAACAGAAGCTAAATGTCTGGATTTGTTCTATTGCATTTATTGCTCAGTTACTCCTAGCCGATAGACAGGAGTGCCCTGTGTATATTCATTCCTCCTAAAATTTGAAGTAATCCAGAATAGCCTCCAACCCATGCTGCCATATACATGTGTTTCTACTGTCGCAATTCTCAGCATTCTATTATTGCAAGAGTGGCTGGAAAAATTGGGGCGTTGAAAGCCATAAATCTAGAAAACAGACAGGTGGGGAAAATTGCTAGAGCAGGGATCCCCTACTCCCAGGTCACAGACCAGTACTGGTTCGTGGCCTGTTAGTAACTGGGCTGCATAGCTAGAGGTGAGCAGTGGGACGAGCAAGTGAAGCTTCTTCTGTATTTGGAGCTGCTCCCCAGCGCTGGCATCATCACTTCAGCTCCACCTCAGATCATCAGGCATTAGATTCTTATGAGAGCATGAACCCCGTTGTCAACTCCGCATACAAGGGATCTAGGTTGCGGGCTCCTCCTTCCAAACATGTGTTCCATGAAACTGGTCCCTGGTGCCAAAAAGGTTGGGGACCGCTGTGCTGGAAAATAAAAGGTTGCTCCTGCTAGATTTTGAAAAGGAATTTATTTTATTGAAAAATACTTTGTTTTTCCAGTCCTGAAAATCATCCTGTCTCCAGGGCATAGCATGTTTTTCAAATAAGGTGATCAGAGCATAACCAAAATAACAGGCAATTTATTTAAGGCAAATGCCTGGCAAAATGAAAAAAAAAATTACTGGAGGGAGAGTTCAATAACCGAGATGTGAAAAGCTTTGACCCGTATTTCAGGCCTTCCAATGAGCAGAAGATTTGTGAGCTGAACACTGTATCCCACTATAGAAATAATAACTGGGCCCTGTTAGGAAGAAGAGTAACTTTGGAGATAGGGTAGAATACATTCAAGCTTGTTCTTTTGTGCTCCCAGTATATCATTGTATTTTTCTCCGTGGCAGCTGGACAGGAGACATTATATAAAATGCTATCCATCTAAAAGCTCGAGTTAAACCCAACATGGAAATTAAATAAAATTTACCAGCATCACATATGTCTTAGTGCAGTTAAAAACTGGATCTGTAACAAGCTTCTGTTGCACTGTTTTCAGCAAATTACAATTTAACCAGTATTGGTTTGGGATTGTCATAAAACAAATTTAAATACTGCCTTTAAAAAATGAGTTGGGAAAGAAGAACATCGCATGTGAAATCATGGGCAGCAATTTAAGATATGTCTCTCTATATATCTATATCTATCTTCAAAATTTTGTGGCTGACATAGAGTTAAAGGGAGACTAGTATAGCTATTTCTTTTTTTATATATATATAAATTTTTATTAATACAAAATTAAAAACACATTGGACATAGATATGACATCACTGGTTCCATACATCTTCCAACGTTTTACAGTAGTATTAATACTCATATAGCCATATAGTTCTTGAGCTTTGCTCACTATTTATAATATAATATTAACACTTTTTCCCTTATTTCTGTATATCTATTTATCTTTTAAATATACATTTTTCTATAATCTATATTTTATTCTAACACTATACATTTGTCTTGGCTAACCTCTTATTGTCTATCCAATCATAAAATTGTTCCCAGATTTTGTAGTACTTAGTTTCACTTTTATCCTTGAGTTCCCATGTAAATCTATCCATTTCAGCGCAATTGAAAATTTTCAGTAATATTTCCTCTTCGGTTGGAGTATCTTTCTCTTTCCATTTTTGAGCGAAGGCTATTCGTGCCGCTGTTACTATATGCAGTAGTAAATAATTTGTATCTTTCTTATATTTTCTTTCTATAATTCCCAATAAAAAAAATTCCGGTTTGGCCTCTATATCTACTAGTAAAATTTCTTCCAGCCATTTCTTTAATAAGTTCCAAAATTTTTGTGCCTTTGGGCATTGCCACCTAGTATAGCTATTTCAAGCTCTTTAGCTCTCATCAGCTAGTCGTACCCTTCTGGGATTCGAACCTGGGCAGCTTGCATGTTAGGCAGCTGAATTAACTCTTTGTCAGCCACAAAATTTTGAATTTACAGTTATCACAGTAGTGACCTCTGCCTGCAAAAAATGCTCCTAGATTGGAGCGAAACGCAGAACAGATTGCTTTGTATTTGGTAGACCGGGTGCTCCATCCAACATATAGATATTTATCTACTTGATGAAAATACAGGGGCTTGTGGTCTCGTGCATTTGAGTAGTTGTCATGAAAGAGAAAGCTGCTCTAGGTGATTTCTGTCTGAGAGCAGGCTCTTGAAGGACTGTTTGGGCAGTGTAGGAGGGAAAAATCTGTTTTGTGAAATAACACTTTCCTTCCAACCTCCTGCTTCCCAAGATGGATTGTATTTATGGATTTTGGGATTCCACAGATGGTACTCACCACCGGTCTATCTTCTCCACAGGACATGACAATTCCTGAGTCAAGCACAGTGAAGAAAATGATGACTGGCACCATGGCTGGCTTTAAGTGGCCACAGAGTGTAAGCGAGGTGATTTAATTCTTTGCATATTTCTCGGAGGAAGCAACAATTCAGCTCTTGGTGTATTGTGTGTGTGTGTGTGTTTGTGTGAGAGAGAAATAGAGAAATAGTATGTCATACTGAGGCAATACAGGTAGTCCACGACACACAACAGTTTACTTAGTGACCATTCAAAGATACAAGAAAAAAAAGTGGCACTGGAAAAAAGTGAGTGATGACTTATTTCTCATACTTTCAACGGCTGAAGCATCCTCATGATCAGGTGATCAAAATCCAGGTGATTGGCAACTGACTCATATTAGATTTATGACGGTTGCAGTGCTTTGGGGTCACGTGATCCGCTTCTGCGACCTCCTGACAAGCAAAGTCAACGGAGGAAGCCAGATTAACTTAACAGCCATGTTACTAACTTAACAGCTTCAGTGATTCACTTAACAAGTGAAGGCAAGAAAAATGGGGCAAAACTCACTTAACAAATGTTTCACTTAGCAACAGAAATTTTGGGCTCAATTGTGGTCGTACGTCGAGGACTACCTGTAGTTCTCTCTCCATAGACTTGGCCCGCAAGCTTTTGGATGATCTGGGCAAGGGCTTTGGTGAAGAGTAAGGAAAATGACCTTGACGGAGATATGTGAGTTCTGTTACTAACTGACAAGGGGTGAAACGTATCTTAAGTCCGTGACAGAGACATAGTAGCTCAGATAGACACCTCACTAATGTACTGAAGTCTGAAAAGGGGAAGGAGGTACAGTATAACCAGGCTTGTAAGATTCTGTTGTTACAATTGATCTTGACAAAGGTAGTTTTAGGCTACCTATAAAGTTGATTTCCTGGTCTGGTTTACATAAAGGGATTGATGGGCGTTTTTTCCACCAATATCTTACTTTGCTTTCTCTCCTTGCTTGATTTACTACATTCAAGCCCGCGTTGCTGGTATTCTCCACGCAACGTGATTCTTGTGCCTATTTCTGCGCCTTGCTTGCTTCACTTTTCCTGTGGTTACTGGAGGGAGAGGGGGAACCAGCAGGAATCACTGCCATCGAAAAAGAAGCTTTTTTTTTTAAACCGGATTTTTAAATCATAGCTTGTTGTAAGCGTACATTTATCCACGTTTGGAAAAATAAGAGAAAAAAAGTTGACATGGGAGAGAAGAGAGAAATGTGATTCGTAAACACTTCAGATATCTTTAAAAAGTTTGTGTAGTATCTAGATCAGCGGCTCCCAACCTTTTCTATACCCCGCACTCCTAGAACGCTTCTGATATATTCTCGCACCCCTTACGAAAGTTTGATATTACGGCAACGAATTAGGCATATGCGCTATGATTTTGAAAACCCAAGTTTTCGCACCTCCTGGAATATCGTCTTGCACCCCCGGTTGGGAACCCCTGATAAAAGGAACCAGAGAGTTACCCTTCCTGATAAACTCCCTACAATATTGAAGATCCTGGGAAGATTTATTCAAGAAGCAGACATCCAGAGAAACCTGAGATTCATCAGCTACAGTCCATACGCTTCTATATGTATTCAGAAACAGAATGATTCTAAGCTGATACAGGTAGTCCTCGACTTAACAACCATTCAGTGTTTAGTGACCATTCGAAGGTATAACAGCACTGAAAAAAAGTGACTTATGACATTTTTCACACAACTGTTGCAGCATTCCTAAAGTCACATGACAAAAAATCCAAACACTTGGCAACTGGCATGTATTTATGACCGTTGCCGTCTCCCAGGGTCACGTGATCCCCTTTTGCGACCTTCTGACAAGCAGAGTCAACGAGGAAGCCAGATTCACTTAACAACCATGTTACTCACTTAACAACTGTGGCAAGCAACAGGACAGAACTCACTTAACAACTGTCTTGCTTGGCAGCAGAAATTTTGGACTTGATTGTGGTTACAAGTTGAAGACGACCTGTACTGAAATCTTTACATTTGGTGATCAAAACGTTGCCCTGCAAGGTCTTTGAAGTATGTCTGTATACATTAAAATCATTTGTTCATTGTCACTTGCTGCTTCCTAAAAATGCTTGAAATAGGAGCTTAGAAATCAATAATTTAAATCTGGTCCTTTTAAACTAGGAATTGTTTTCTTAGCGTGTATCAGAAGGTGTAGTTTATACGAAGGATCCATTTTCAAGCATTCTTCTTTCTGTTTAGCTGCATGGATAGTTTTCAGCCAACTCTTACTATTTTTTTTTTATTAATTACATTCCATAACCTGACTTTTTCATGTATTTCTCCCCATCAAATGCATAATATTTATATTTGTCCTGAACGAAGCAAGGAGCTCAACATAACTGTTCTGGATTCCAAAAAGGCACCAAAGACTTTTCCTCAGAATCTGGAACTGAAACCCATTCATAGTGTGTGTATAGATGCTTTTCCAGAGTTGACGTTTTGAGTGTGTTGGCTTCTCAATTTGTTCCTTTGCCATTACAGCCTGTGAAAGATGGTGACCCTCATTTCCATCACTTCCTGCTTAGCCAAACTGAAAAGGTAAGCAAAATATATATATATGGAATTTTAGGCTGAAACATGGTTTGGGAAGGATGGATAAGCAGAGTAATGGTTATCCCTGTTTTGAATAAACCATGAATTAGTCAAAACAGAAGAACCAGCTATGCTGTCTGGGGAATTCTGGGAATGGAAGTCTTCAAGCTGTTAACAGTTGAGAAGCACTGGTGTATAGGATACACCTTTGAGCTGGGAGCAGAGAGATCCAGTTTTATTCCCCTTCAGCTACAGAAATCCAGAAAAATCATACGGGGGCCAAGCACACTTTCTAAGTGCATCTGTATTCCGAAGCTATGGCCTTTGTTCTGTCCCACCTAATTCCTTAAATTAGAATTTGCTATCCTAAGCTCTTTGCCATCACCCTATTTCAGGATGTGACTTCTACTTTTATGAGGTCTCCTTAGCTATTATTTCTCATAAGTGCTTAGTGGAGAGAATTCCTTGCTTCTCCATGACAATTTGACTATTTGGGTGAATGGGGCCCCGTAGTCTGCAGCTGAGTCAAGGTTTGGTTGTTCTACAGCAGGGGTGTCAAACTCGCAGTGTCACGACTTATCGCGACTTTTTTTTGCATTGCCGGAGCCTCTTTATGATGCATCTGGTGCATGTGCTTTTATCTTTTCCCTACAGCCAACAGTTTGCTATCAGGCCATCACAAAGAAGCTGAAGGTGTGTGAAGAGGTACAGAAGAGTTTGCTTTTAATTTCCTTTCATTGAGCAGATCCTGCCCATTTTGCTAAGACGAAATTGATCAGTGACGGGTGTATTCTTCCATAGGAAACTGGGTCCACTTCTATCCAGGCAGCAGACAGCACAGCTATCAATGGCAGCATCACTCCTACAGACAAGAAGTAAGCCTTCCTTCCTTCCTTCCTTCCTTCCTTCCTTCCTTCCTTCCTTCCTTCCTTCCTTCCTTCCTTCCTTCCTTCCTTCCTTCCTTCCTTCCTTCCTTCCTTCCTTCCTTCCTTCCAAATTGCTTTCATGCCAGCTGGCTGAACTTCACCAAGCAGTTGCGTGCACAAAATGAGAGAATGAATTCTCCCCACCCCACCCCCATCAAACCCTGCCATGACCAAAGATGACATTGTTAGAACGGTGAAAAATAAAAATTGCCCAGAGGCTCTCTCACAATCCAGTGAATTTTCCTTTGGATCTAAATGCTTTGTTGTTGTTGTTTTAAAAAAAACACCACCACCAACAACAACCCTCTTTTCATGGCACGGTTCATTGCAAGAATCTGGTGAGAATGGTCTTGGAGTTGTTCTTCAGCCACCACCAGAAAGGAGAGGAAGAGGCGGGACTTTTGAATTCCTCCCAGGAAGGGCCCTCTATGGCAGATCTGCCTCCAGACCCTCCTTGCGCTTCTCCCTCTCCTTGAGTGACTGGAGCCTCAGTTGCACTTCCTGTCGTGCTGTCAGAAGCAATATCCCCCCAGCTCTGTTCAGAGCAAGCTGCGGCCTGCTTGGGGCTGCAGCCATCTCAGGATGTCTGCCCTTTGCGTTTGCTGGAGGGAAACAAACTTTTAACAATGAAGTCATTCAGGTAAACCCTTAAAAACCCAGCAGCTCTTCAGCTGTCCTGATGCACAGTTGCACACGGGCCCTTTTAACTGCGCCTCGACCACACCCTTTCGTGTTGTTTTCCTTCAGCTCCGCAGGACGCTCATGGGTGAACGGTGTGGCAAAGCGTAACGTGGTTAGGAATTGGCTTTCCTCAAATCAGCTGTGAGAGGTGACAGAGAGGAGGGGAAACTGGCCTGCTTTTTTCCCCTTTTTTTCTTTTGGCAGGTTTCCTAGAGTAGTTTGAATCGTTGTATGTTGGAGTCTGGTAGCCTTCCTATTTTACTAAAAATAAAAAATGCAGATAAAACATTCTTAACCACAAACGCTCTTGGGTAAGAGTTCCGCTCGTTAGCAGTGGCTTTCTTAATCATAAGCCCAGAAGTGCTGATAACGGAGTAAGGCTTGAACAAGTGTCTACGTTACTTGGAAGACTTGCAAATATATAAATTTGGGGTTTGCCCCGGGATCATCCTGCACCTCATCACACTACGTCACACTAGACAAGTGTGTTGCTCATGCAGCTGCTTGGTGTGCACAGTCCTCTGTAGTGTCGGGTCTTTTAGAAAAGAGGTTTGTGAGAGGATGGGCAGGGTGGAAAACTTCCTGTCTCTTGGAAGCCATTGTCTTCTGGATGCCACACGCTGACTTCTGAAACAAGCATTTGAACAGAATTAGCTCCCAAACTAGGTGAGGCCACCCAGGGTCCATTGTTCTGGCCTCCTTTCCCCTATTCTTTTGTTTATGGAAAAAATGGGTAGGAAAAGAAGATCCAGTTCTTGCCAAAAGCCTGTTGTTGCATAGAGCAAGCAATGTGATTGATCAGTTTGGAATTGAGAATAATAGATTTCCCCTGGTTTGTCTTTGTGCATCGTTTTACTTGTTACTCTCGCCCCCATTTCTCTGTATCTTGATTTTGTGAGGTTTGAAAGAACGAAAAACAGTCGTTCCCTGCGCCGTGGCCAGCTCTCACCATCTTCTCCCCTACGCAGGATAGGATTCCTCGGTCTCGGCCTGATGGGCAGTGGCATTGTCTCCAACTTAATAAAAATGGGTCACACCGTCACGGTCTGGAATCGGACCGCTGAGAAGGTAAGTTCCATTTCTAGTAAGAAATAAACAGTCTTCTGGTCTGGGTGGGGGTGGGTGGGTGAAGGAAGCAACAGACCTGATCAAGGAATGCCTTTCGAATTGCTGATGGTCACCCAAGCCTGAAATAAGAGAATGTCTCTGTTTACAAGATGGGAGAAACGTGTGGCAATTTTCTCATCTGTACTGCGACATTCTTTCCATACTGAACGATGGACTGCCAGGAGTCAACGCTGCTTCAAAAGCACGCGCTCCCTAGAAAGAGAGAAAAGCCATTTCACTAAAATGGATGCTTTCTGGCCCAGCACCTTTGAAATGTTTTTTTTAAGATGGGCTTCTGAACGTAGTAATTGGTTTGACAGCGCCAGCTTACATTATCCCCGAGATCCTTGTAGCTATGGTAACGTTTTCATTCCCTCCGTTTCGTTTCTTTTTCCCCCCCCTCCCAATTTGTGCTATTTTTGTGGCTGACAGCAGAAGCTCTGACTTAGGATAGCTGCCGCAGCTATGCCCACATCAGTTTTTGCCCCACATTTTTTTTAGAAATCACTCTGTTAACAGTTTTTGTGAGCATAGAGGACTGCATGAGGCAGTTGGCACCTCTCGGGAGATAATGAGACCCTCAGAATTAGGAGATCATCTAAGGCAGTGGTTCTCAACCTGTGGGTCGGGACCCCATTTGGGGTCGATCGACCATTTCATAGGGGTCGCCAAGCAAGGCTGTTCGCCATTTTTTTGTCCGCCATTTTTTTCCCCTTTTCCGGCAGGTGCCTTACCTCCCTTGAGCTGGGGCAGCTGGTGGTCGGCCTGCTCCGTCTCTGCCGCTTGCCAGCTACGCCTCGGCTGGCGCAGGGGGCGGAACCATGCATGCGCGGCGCTCCCGGGCAGGGAAAGTCCTCGACTTACGACCAATTGGGTAGTCCTCGACTTACGACCGGTTTAGTCCTCGACTTACGACCGGTTTAGTCCTCGACTTACGACCGGTTGGGGTCGCGGCATTAAAAAGGTTGAGAACCACTGATCTAAGGAAAACCCTCGATAATGGCAGAGCAGCAGCTGCTGAAGAAAAGACCTGTGTCGTTTGGGATAGAGCAGTGATGTGGTGGGTCACCCCTCTCTGGCATTATTCCAATCCGGTAGATGTCCAAGCCCCATCTGTCAGCCAAAAGATTGGCGGGTGGGATTGGACCCAGGGTTCAGTCCTTTAGTATCAGAACGGATCCCCCTGCCATTTCCAGGAGGCAATAGAAAAGCTATCTTCTTGGATCCACAAGAGCTTGGAGCCCTTTCATAGCTGCTGTTACACAAAGGTAATGTAGTTGTTGTTGCAGCAGCTGAGGCCGTAAACCCAGACTCCCTTGGCCCTGATTAGGTTCTGTGAAGCTTGCTCTATTCTCACAAAACACCCTGTAAGTCCGTGTCCAAAGATACGGTGTGATGACCCTTCCAGAAAGCAGAGAAAGAATTTCTTTGTTATCCTGCCAAGCTTAGCTAGTTCTCTTTGCTTTGGTTCACGTAACTTCCAAGTTTATTCTGACCCAAACTTAATATTTCCTGGGATTGTGTTGGGAGTTCTCCAGCTACGTGGGCTTCGACTCTTCAGAATTCACAGCCGCGGCTCTGGTGGCTGATTTGGGGGCATATCGTGGTTCCCGGGTTCATTCTGTTTCTTACCTTTGGGTCTGTGACTTTTGCAGTGTGATTTGTTCATCCAGGAGGGGGCACGGTTGGGAAGAACCCCCGCTGAAGTAGTCTCAACCTGTGATATCACTTTTGCCTGCGTGTCTGATCCAAAAGCAGCCAAGGATGTAAGGATTACCTCTTTTTACTTGCATGAGCCCCTCCTGCCCTCCTGTTCCCCCCCCTCCTCTCCCCCCCCCCAAATGCTTTGCCACAGAATGATCATGTCTGCTTTGCTAGGACCAGAATTTTTTCTCAGTTTACCCAGAAAAACTACGACGACTTTGAATGACTCTTGAGAACGAGATTTACACCTCTCTTACTTTGTAGGTAATGGCAATGCAGAACGCCCGTTTTGATTTTTAAGCAGAAGTCATGAATGTGGACTTCTTCACTGATTTCCTCGTGCCGTGCACAAACACCCTTTGCTTCTACAGATAATTACGTCTTTGAAATAACAAGGACGTGCTAGCTTTTCTCACCGGGCAGCTAAGAGAGGCTGAAAACACAACGGAAGAGTCCTAATTGTCCGGGAGGCCTTGTTTCACTCGGCAAAGAAGAGCGAGGAGATGAGGAAGAGGCTTAAAAAAACGATGTTAATTGAGGATTCTCACAGTTTTAACTTTTAACTTGTAACAGGAGATACATTCCTTATCCTGGGGAAGTTGAGAAAAATAGCTTTCCTGGTGGTGCTCGCTCTCCTCTCCGTCTCTTCTGACCGAAGACAAGCCAGCGCACTGTTAAATATTTATGAAACACTCTTTGGATATTTAGGACAAGGTCACTCTAGTTTTTCAGTTGTGCGGGAGCCTCTTCTGCCGCACGTAATTGTGCCCAATGTTTAATCACCTCTGAAAAGCTTTGCTGTCAAATGACTGGATTAAGCCACCAGTACACGGTTGCTTTGGAGTATTTTCAAGTCTGTGGAGTCACGGCTAGAGCTTGCTGCAGATTCCGTTCATATCGCTGTTTAGTTTGGCTTTACGGGATTATATTGTATGTGTGTGTGGTTTTTTTTCCCCCCCTCTCACAGCAGTCCTATGAGAGCTCACTTATTTGGGACACCCAGGCTGGGAGAATTAAGTTGCCTGAAACCATCAAAAACTGGAACTAGAACTGTACTATTGTAGGTCTCTCGAAGGATTTCAGAACATAAAAGCCTCAATTCTGTTTCATATTTCTAAAAATATGGAGAGCAAAGATAGCCACAGTCCCTATTGGTTAAAAAATCTGAAATGGGTATTATGGTAACGGCGTTATTGGCCAACTGCCAAGAAGCTTCATTGAGCATTATGACCATCTCTGGATTATTGTGGGGTAGAAATATGGGCAATATATATAAATGGATAGGTAGAGCACCCAAAATCACCTTGTAGAGGAGATGGGCAGCATAAAAATTTAATAACGTATGACCTCTGTTGAAATTCTGAGCTCTGCTTTTAATCACACCCTTAAGGGGAAATACCAATAAAGTCTGTTACATGTTATGAGAACTGTGCCGTGCCAGGAACTCTGGGGTGAAGTGACTGGAAAGCACAGATTGATCAGTTTTGAAAATTCCAATTTGTTTGTACTGGGACTCATCTAAGGTAGAACATCTAGATCTAAAGCAGTTTTTCAACCTTGACGGCTTTAATTCCTAGAATTCCTCAACCAGGTATTGTTGAAGTCCACAGGTGTGATAAGCACCGAGCTAAAGGTTTTTGCAGCTTGTGACATTGTGAGAGCAGGCTTGGAAGTCTGTGGCCAAGGGTTCAAAAGCTCCCCCGAGTATGACAGCAGCAGCAGCAGGAAAGGAGCCCTTGACACAGCTGAATGACCTCTTGTGTTGTTCAAGGCAATTAGGCTTCATTGTGCTGGATTCCTTGCACAAAAATCAGCTCAAGTAAAGGCTAGTAAATTTTACAACATGTCTACCACAAAAACCAGGTGAGTTGCCGATTCTATCCACTACAGCCGTGGAGTTAATTTGAACCAAGTAACGTAGAAGCTGGTCTGCTTATCTCTTTTAGGACATGCAGAAACACTTTTTCCACCAGATCAATAGCACATGTCTCTAGAAGCCTGTCCCCTCCCGTGAGCTGATCTTTTGAAGATAGTCTGTTTTCATACTAACTAACTGAGCCATTACAATGTTGTAAATGAATTCTATCCTCGTTCTTTCTATCTTGTTGTTCAGTCACTAAGTTGTGCCTGACTCTTCGCCACCCCGTGGACCACAGCACACGACAGGCCCCCCCTGTCCTCCGCTGTCTCCTGGAGCTTGCCCAAATTCATGTTTGTTGTGTCGATGACACTAAGCATCTCCTCTTCTGCTGTTCCCTTCTTCTTTTCCCTTCAATCTTTCCTAACATCAGAGTCCCAAGGAGTCCCCTCTTCTCATTTGGTGGCCAAAGTGTTTTGAGTTTCAGCCTCAGGATCTGTCTTTCCAAAGAAGAGCCAGGGTTGATTTCCTTTGCACGGGTGTATTTAAGACATATTTATTCACAACACAAAAGGCAGTGTGAGTCAATCAATAGGCAACTTCCACTTGGAGAAGTTTATTGCTGGGCTACATCAATCTTAAGAATCTTCCCAAACTGAAGAGTTGAGAGGACTCACAAATACCTGGAAGTTCTTAGAGGATTTTTGATTGGCCCATATAAAACTTCCTGGACGCTGTGCAGTCCAATATTACCACCATTTTGAACACCACAGTGCCTTCTGGCTGAGTGTCCACCAGTCCTACCTTAACCTTGAGCAGCACAGCATCATTAGAGGAGGAGGAAGCCACAACTTCTGCAGCAGATAGTTTGGAAGCCTGGGAGAAACTCAGCCAACGATCAGGTGTGCAGGTGACTGATAGACGCCCCTTAGGTATTGGCTAGGTTGGGTTTACTTTGCAGACACCCTATTGCTTTACCGCTCTTCTCTTCCCCCAGCTGGTACTTGGTCCCAGTGGAGTACTCCAAGGCATCCGTCCAGGGAAGTGCTACGTCGACATGTCCACCGTGGATGCAGACACTGTTACGGAATTGGCTCAGGTAATAGTGCTGAGTGTGATAGTATGTGAGAAGGATCTTGGGCATGAGGGGAAGAAGTGTGGGCTAAGGAACAACCAGACATGAGGGGTCCTCAGTGCTCCCTGAGCTTGGTTGTTTTCTTGTAGGTGTTTCATTACTCAAACTAGGTAATATCTTCAGTGTTAGAAGGGAATGAGGTTTGTGGAGTGGAAGAGAGGAAGGGGGGAAGAGGAGGAGAAGGACTGTAGGGTGTTTGGTGCTCTCCAAGCTTGGCTGTTTTCTTGCAGACATTTCATGACCCAAACTAGGTAACATTATCAGTGCTAGTCATCCCACGGTCCCAGTTGCTGTCAGTAAGTGAGACCAGTGTGGGTTGTTAAGCAAGGATCTCCTATGACCATGACTTCCTACCAGCTTCCCAATTGACCTTGCTTGTGGGGCGTTGGCAGTGAAGGTCACAAATCATGATCATGTAACTGTGGGACACTTCAGTCTTGCAAGTATGAAGTCCAGGCATAACTACCACTGGCCTAGCATCATCATAAGTTTGATCAATTGCTGAATTATTAACCCAAGGATCACCTGTAATGTGTTACTGCGTTGCCTGAGTTGGGAGGGAAGATTAGCACGACCACCGGTGTCCTTAGTTGATGCAACTTGTCTTCTCTGCTCCAAGTGATCCTCCTCCTCTTGCTTCCAGGTGATTGTCTCCAGAGGTGGTCGCTTCCTGGAAGCCCCAGTCTCAGGGAACCAACAGCTATCCAATGATGGGATGCTGGTGATATTAGCGGCTGGAGACAGAGGCTTGTATGAAGACTGCAGTAGCTGTTTCCAGGCAATGGGGAAGACTTCTTTCTTCCTAGGTCAGTGATGGCGAACCTTTTAGAGACTGAGTGCCCAAACTGCAACCCAAAACCCACTTACGCATCGTTGAGTGCCGGGTGGGTGTAGCCCATTGGGTGGGTGTGGCCAATTGGGTGGGCGTCACTGCGGTGGTAACGGCAGACTGGGTGGTTCAATCAATTCCAACTTTGCGAGATCTTTTTTTTTTCGCGAGAAGTTGAAATTGATTGAACTTTTTTTTTATTGCACACGATGGCGGAGGCCTAAAGTGAAAAGGTTTTATAAAACCCAGCTGAAGGCATAGGACTGGGGCGACTGCCCCACAGAGAGGGCTCTGAGTGCCGCCTCTGGCACCCGTGCCATAGGTTCGCCACCTCTGTCCTAGGTAGTTTCATTAAGTGGTGGGAATAATCATTTAAGTGGTGGATTGTGGCACTTGAAAACACAGAATGAGGCCAGGCAGAAAACATCTCCATTCAGGATGTTTGAGGGAGAATGTGGCCTACATAGATAGAACACTGGGACATGTTTGATACAGGATGCCAAGCTCTTGTCTGGAAGGTCGAAATGTGAGAAGATACATTTAAGAATAATTCTTGGGTTTTTAATGAGTTTCTCGTACAGGAACTCTTTCTGCGTGCTTTCTGTGTTAACTCTCATCTTAAAATTATTCTGAGGAGCACTTCTAACATCTGTTTTTTTGAAGCTACTAACAAAAGTCTGCAAGACTATGATAACTGCACACAACAGCCAAGTGGGTTGAAGTCATGAAGAGGGAGGAGGCACAACAATTACCTGAATTCCACCTGGAACTGTATCTAGAAATAATAAGTTTTTTCCCCTTTCCTCAAAAATAAAATCCAATTATTCTCAAACCTATTTATATACTGCAGAGGCCAGTTGGTGCAGTACAAACGAGGCCTGATCCCTTTTTTTTTCAAGTGTGCTACTTTTGACATTATGGACTGATAGATTAGAGTAGAATACAGATGTTATGCACGCGTGCACACACACATTACATAGCATCCATTGAAATGGTTCTGTGTGGATTTATTGGCCACATAGTATATTTTGATCGGTGGGGTCATTAATTAATTGACTTATATTTCCCAGTATTGGGGTTCTCTGTGGGCATTGTCCAATCTGGGTCAGTCACTGGGACCAGTAACTTCTGAGCTTTCAGACTCCTGCTGGAGCCCATCATCAGGGAATTTCTCTCTAGCAGAGTGTGTGCTGTTCTGTGTGTGGTATTTATAGTGCCTGATGTAAGTGGCTTTTTAGATGTTGATTGGGGTGTGTTAATGGCTGGCTTTTAAGTCATTAGCTGTGGTTTCCTTGTGCTGCCCAGCCCTCGCCTTCTAAGTCAGACATGTCAAACACAAGGCCCGGGGGCTGGATGTGGCCCGCAAAGTGGTTTCATGTGGCCCGCGAAGCCATCCTGGAAACAGTGAGGGAACGGCCCCCGCTGCCTTGGGCCTGGCCCAGGCCGGCCGGGAGCCAATGTACAATTTTGTGGTGGCCATCTATGCTGAAACGCATTCAGTCTTAGCTCCACAAGGCCATCTGGAAACAGCGAGGAACCAGCCCCTGCCGCGTCAGTCCTGCCCCCTCGGTGCATGCTGGGGAGGTGTCACCCTTTGTGAGGAATGAAGAAATGGACCACGCCTTGGCGCTTGCCCCGGTCCCTCCCCCTTCTGCCAGAGACTCTCAGATCTGTCCCACTCCTGCCCAGGCCCCCACTGGCACCCTTGACGCAATGTAGAGCTGGCTATGCCCACCCAGTAGGTCACACCCACTCCATCCACGACCACCCAGTAGGCTGCACCCACCCTGGCCACACACACACACATACCGAGGGCAACCGCAATGCTGATGTGGCCCTCAATGAAATTGAGTTTGACACCCCTGTTCTAAGTACTTGATAAGCCGATGATAAATCAGCACTCCTGTTGACTGATGGGGGGCCTGTTTCCCAGCCTTCAATCATTTCCCTGGCTGCTTTTGTGCCGGCTCGTCCAACAATTTTAGTAGCTGCAAAATTGAATGTGTGTCCTTGTTCACTGCAGTGTCCATTGCAGTACCTATTTATCCCAAACCTCTGGACCTTTACAAGAAAACAATGGAATTCATCTATTAAAAAAAGAGCAAATCTTGCCTATACCAGCACCGTCCAAGACTTTTGCTATCTGGTCGCATCCTTTTAAATGTGTCGCATTAGCTATGGGGCAACCAGTGTAAAGAAATTAGAAGGGAAATATTTTGACTAGCTCTTAAGACCGGTAAATTACAATGAAGCTGAACAGTGAAGAAGCTACAAAAGTTTTTTGGGGGGGAAAATCCTCGGTTATCAGCAGAAATTTATTGTTGGGGTATAAAAAAGTAGAAGAATGCATCGAGGGACAGATTAGTAGATGTTATCAAATGTCTGAACGAGGTCTAAGATATGGTTGAGCAGGTAGCTTTTTTTTTATCCCATCTTCTTGTAAATAATTTCACTGTCTCTCCGTCTCCCATAGGAGAAGTAGGGAATGCTGCCAAGATGATGCTGATCGTAAACATGGTCCAAGGAAGCTTCATGGCCACAATAGCAGAGGGACTGACTTTGGCTCAGGTCACCGGTCAGTCCCAGCAGACACTTCTGGACATCCTCAATCAGGGACAGCTTGCCAGCATCTTTCTGGATCAGAAGTGCCAAAGTAAAGTTCTTCATTTCCCTCCCCCCCCCTTTTTTTTGGATATAAAAAGGCTGTTTCTCTCAACCAGGTGTAGGCAATCCAGAATCTTCAATTGTTCTGATCAGTTCCCATAGTCCTTTGCTTTGGGTCATCTTGGTAGGGCCTGATGGAAGTGGATGGCCTAAATATCTGGAGTGATTCTTAACCTTGGCATTCTTAACCTTGGCAGCCTTAAGATGTGTGGGCTTCAACTCCCAGAGTTCTTGTGTTGACTGGGGAATCCTGGGAGCTGAAGTCCACACCTTTTAAAGCTGCCAAAGTTGAGAAACACTGCTCTGGAAGTCAGCTGATTGCCTGCCTCTACTCTTGAACTAGCTCTTTCCTATACAGTATAGGGCTGTTTCCTATACCTCCCATAGCCATACCTGCTGGAGGTTTCCAGATAGTTCCTCCTGGCCAGACATGCTTTCTAACTGTGATAGTGGAGTGGTTAAAGTGATGGACAGGCCCAGGAAGGCCCAGGCTCAAATCTCCCTCAGTTGTGAAATTCATTCACCTTTAAAGTTTGTGCTTGGGATATATTAAGGGAGATCTCTCTCCGGGGCTCTTGTCCTGAGTTCTTAAGGAAAGCAATTTCTCTCTGTGTGTATATTCAAACAATAAAAAGAAGTGGAATGACTGGAGTAAAGGGCAGTAGAAAGTAAACACATGTGTGTATATAACAGGGGTAGGCAACCTTGGCTGTTTTATGACTCATGGACTTCAACTCCCAGAATTCCTGAGCCAGCATGGCTCAGCTTAGAAACCTCTCCCTTTCCCTCAGCATGGCTGGCTCAGGAATTCTGGGAGTTGAAGTCCACGAGTCATAAAAGCCAAGGTTGCCTACCCCCTGGTCTATACCAAACTGCAATCTTGAAAGTAGGTAAAAGACTTTTGTGGCCAACTAGAGAGTTTGTTAGCATGGATAATGTGCGAAAGGATCACTTTGGCCTGACATGGTCTTGCATGTTGAAATAGGTGCACTGGGAGTGGGGAAATCTGAAGGGACAATTGTTGTCGGCAGGGAAAGTGGAATATGAAAACGTATCTGGCCTTCTCCTTCTCTAGATATCCTGCAAGGAAACTTCAAGCCTGATTTCTACCTGAAATACATCCAGAAGGATCTCAGATTAGCCATTGCACTGGGCGATTCGGTTAATCATCCAACTCCCATGGCAGCTGCAGCCAATGAGGTAGGTTTTTCCCCAAGCGAGCCTATTTCTGTTCAGTCTGGTCTTTTTTTTTCTTTTTTTCTTTTTGGCAAACCTTTAGAAAAGTACCTGCATCTGAAGACTGGATTGAGATTGTGTTTTTTTTTCAGTCTAGATCAGTGATGGCGAACCTTTTAGAGACTTGAGTGCCCAAACTGCAACCCAAAACCCACTTATGCATCGTCTAATGCTGGGTGGGTGTGGCCCATTGGGTGGGCGTGGCCCATTGGGTGGACGTGGCTGCGGTGGTAACGGCAGACTGGGTGGGACTAAAAAGTTCAGTCAATCAATTTCAACTTTGCAAGATCTTTTTTTTTTCCCCCGAGAAGTTGAAATTGACTGATTGAACCTTTTCTTTTTTTTTTTTTTTGGCACACGGCGGCGGAGGCCTAAAGCGAAAAGGTTTTATAAAACCCAGCTGAAGGCCTAGGACTGAGGCGACGGCGCGCGTGCCCACCACTGGTCTAGATATTTGATCTTAGCTGCCTCCTTCATTAATTTTAATTGACTCCGGTTGTTTAGAGAATCGCTGCAATTGTTCAGTTAGTCACATGGTTGTTAAGCAAATCTGGTTTCCCCATTGACTTGTGCTTATCAGAATAGGTCACAAAAGGGGGAATCACACGACCCCGGGACACCCAACCGTCATAAATACGAACCAATTGCCAAGCGTCCAAATTTTAATCATGTGACCCTGGGGATGTCGCCAGGGTGACCAGTGTGTAAAACGGTCCTAAGTCACTTTTTCCGTTGCTTTTGTAACAGTCGCTAAACGAATGATTTGTAAGTCGAGGACTAACCATATCTCCTTGCCAAATTGAGCCCCTTAACAGCAGATTCTGGATCCCCCTTAATTTGTTCAGGCACTTTGGCTGGAAGGAAAGTTAGTAGATGCAGCCGGGGGTCTTTAAGATGTTAGTAGGAAGCCACTCGTCCTTCTTTGTAACTCCTCTCTTCTGCTCCGTTCTCTCCTTCAGGTCTACAAACGGGCAAAAGCGTTGGATCAGTCTGACAACGACATGTCTGCTGTGTACAGGGCCTACATCCACTAGGCTATCCTCTTCTCATTGTTAATACTATGATTAATTATAATGAATACTGGGTTTTAACTCTGGACCAGTCCATCTTTGTCTCTCTCCTCCTCTCCTTTCTCCTTACTCCCACCTACTCCCCCCCTCTTTATTTCCTTTTTAATACAAAAAATCTTTTTTGAGATCTGCCACAAGGACAGTTGCTACAGTATGCCTTCCTGTGTCATCTGCAGCAGCAGTAGAAGAGATTGGACAACACCCCTTGGGAGTCATAGAATGGAATACCCCCCCCCCCATAATGCTGCTTGGCTTTAATCCCAGTTCTCATTGTATGTGTAGCCCTGGATATGGATGTCCCTTTACCTGGGTGGTTTTGACAATTGGGGTGGGATTCTGGCACACCTGTGCTCTTATTTCCTTGGAGAAAAAGATTAGAACAGTAGGTGTGAGAGGTAAATTAATATAGCGCCTGGCTATAGTTCCCTAACAGAAGAAGAACGGCTTGCATCCAGGCCTTCTCCATGGAAACAGCTTTTGTAAATGAGAGAACGGTCTTTTACTTAATTCCAATTCAAAATGAGTCTCTGACATGCAGGATGTCTCTGCAGGCTCTTAATTCCCAAATGGTTTTATCTATTCTGAACGCATTTGTAAAATGATTTGACCTGCCTGTGCTTCACAGAATAAGTTTGTGGAGGGCATTTAAAAAAAAAAAAGATAGAACTTTTAGAGTCTTCCTTCAGGTTCATCTTGGAGAATTAGCACCCTGAATGTGCACATCTTTGCTCCTAATATTTGCAAGGATGATTTGGTCTTGAGGAGTGTTGCCCATTAGTCAGGGGGGGGGAAAAAGATAATTTGATATAAAGAATTTGACCTCCATGTTTTTCTTTCTGAAAAACCGAAGATACACATAACGTGAACTAGAAATCCTGCTTTCAAGTAATGTAATGAAAGATTCAGCAAGCTACGAACTGATACAGCTTAATACTTTGTTGAAATAACAGAGTAATCTTAGAATACAGAAGCGCATCAGCACATTCCAACAAAATTGTGATGCTTTTTTTCAGTCTCAAAAGTCAGTATTAATCTTGAAAGAAAGCCCTTTGCTCAAGCTTGGAATGCATACATCAGAAAGGGTTGGAAACAATTCTGGGTTCATGGAGAGACTTTCACATTTGCATAAACAAGAGCTCAAAAACTCAGCACCCAGATACCTAGTCCGCTTAATTGTGCATTTCAGACTGATGAACGTCTCTTGCCAATATTTAAACTTTCACAGTGCAAATGTGACATCCATCTCTTTGAACCTTGGGTTGATCTCCAAGCAATGTGGATGTGCTGGCCCATTCTGAGTGCAGGTGCAGAAGACTCAGAGTTTTAGTTGATATATTAAAAGTTTTAGTTGATATATTAAAAAAGTAGGCATGGGCCTACTCTGCTCTTGCTACAGCACATGCTCCTTTTAGTTCCCCCCCCTTCTGTGGTACTGACAATCCACCTTAAAAAAGGACCTTAGTTTTTGTCCCTGTCCAGCGGTTTCTTAGCTCCCAATAGCTATCTGCCTGCTTTTTCCCACAGTGAAGTGTATCTTGTTAATGGAAATGAACTCCTTATGAGTAAGTGAAGCTTTTAAGAACAACCAGTATCTGTCAGGAGGAGCAAATGAATCTGGGGGGAGATGGCCTCACTCAGGATGGTTGTTCTTAAGGCAGTAAATTAAAGCAGGAAGCTACTTTTCCAAAGACCTTCTGAAGCAGGGATGTCCAACCTTGGCAACTGTAAGACCTATGGACTTCAGCTGCCAGAATTCCCCAGCCAGCATTGTTGGGGAATTGAATTCTAGGAGTTTGAAGTCCACAGGTCTTAAAGTTGGACACCCGTTCTAAAGATTGTCAGGAAAAGGACAGGGAGAACCTTTTGAGATTTTGTGAGAACGAACCTTGCAATCCTTGAACAGAACGAACAGAAATAGTTCCCAGAATATTTTATTTTGCCTCCCGAGAAAAAACATGCAAATGGAGCTAGGAATTGCAACTACAATATAAGAGAACTGCAGCGTCTTCCATTCAATCTCTCTACCTTGTGGTTTTTCTGTCAGAAGAAAGATCTGCTGAAGGGTGCGGTCACTTCTGCAGGACTGCACAGTTAGTGATATCCCAAGGGGGAACAGCTCAAAACGCTACTAAGAGCTTGGAACTGCTGGCCCATTTCATGCCTTTTTTTTTAGAAGGACACCCGTGTTTTCTTTCATTTGCAGCCAAACAGTAGTTTATGTAAACTGGGCTTTGCAACATCCAATTTTATGGGTCAAAGCATCCATTAGTCTACCAGTTTTACATTGCAATATATTTGCTGGTTTTAAGGTGCCATGGGACTCCTTTCCTACTCGGCCTTTCTGCTCTGAGAGCCAGCTTTGATCAATTCTTGGTTGGGGTGTCCTTAAATTCGACCTGGCAGTGGCACAGGAGGGGAAGCGTTTGTTACAGGAGAATAGGATGGAACTGGCTTAGTCATTGTTGTCTTAATATTGTTGACAATACTGTAAAGTTTCTTTTTTTTTTAATGGGATTTCTGTTTTAGCAGTTGCTTTTTTTTTTGTTGTTCCCTCCTTTTTCAAGATAAAATATATTTACACTTGTGGAGAGCTTGTAAGAAAAAAAAATCTGTTTCTTTTAATTCCTTCTCCTTTGATGAATGATCTATAGGTAATTAAGGTTGTGAATTTTTTTTTTATTTTTGCCTTGTTTTTAATTAATGTTTTGTCATTGAGATAGGATGTGTGGTGATGATTAAATGGCAAACACAGACAAAATGATTTTTTTTTTCTTGTGCAATTAACAAAGCTACTGGCAAAAGGAAATAAAACCTTTCTTGGTAACACAATGCTACTTGTTGCTCTAAAGTATTCTTTCCTAACTGCATACTTTGGGAGAAGAATTAGAATACGAATCTCCCATTCCCAAAACACAAAAATGGTAATAGATGCACTAGTCAAGAGTATAAATTTGTGTATAACTTCAAGGATGAGGGAATGGAGAAACTTTGGAAAGGATGAATGCCATTAATAAAAGTAAAAAAAATATACTGCAAATTTGAAAATTTGATGGTGAGACGAGGATGTACGGAGCTTTGTAAAAACTCCTGTTTAATCATCAATTACAGTGTACAAACCACAACAGCTGGGGTTCTACAACACACCAGTTTCCTTTGCAATGACAACTTTGTAGTTTATTTCAGTAATATTGTTTGAAAATATATAAAAAAAAACAGAAAAACTCTTTAACATTTGAAATGAGATGGAAAGAATTGAACTGTTTATTTTACAGGGTGGCTAGGAAGAGTTACAGAATTGACTTGTTGACCTTGTTCTTCGTCTAAGTGGTTATATTAGAAGAAAAATGAGAAAAATCTCCAGTATTTATGTATTTATTTATAAACATTAGAAAATAAAATCATTTGCTTACTAAATAATTAGCTATGTTGAATAACAGTGCTTTTTCTCTATTTTGTCATTTGTTCTTAAGCCAACACATGAATTAAAAGTGGAGGTTTGAATACAGCAATTGGCTTACGATTGGTTCATGATTATTCAGATTTCGTTTTGGAAATGTGTGCGCTTTTAAGGAAGTGATGTTTGCAATAACTCTGAAGGAAAATACCGCCTTCCTAATACGAAAAATACTAAAGAGGAGGGTAAGCACATAGATGAAGGGTGAAAATAATTCTAGCTGGGTATTTTCTGTTTGTGAGTCTCATTTAGAATATAAAATATTGACTACCTTGTTCAAAATAGAAGCCAAAGGATAATCATATGTATATATAAATGTGCTAATATAGAATAATAATAAAAAATAGAAGGAAGCCTGGCATTGCAGACATTTCCGTTCTTTAGGAATAACAACCGTCTATAAAAAGAAGGAAAAGCAAAACGGCACCGAACCTTTCTACCAAAAGATGATATCAAGGATTTGCTTATCATGCTGTGTTTTAAGGATGCTAAAAGGAATCCGCATCGCTTCAGTGTTTGCACATCACGCGACTAAAACGGAAGTGGATACAAGAAATAGCACATACACACCCTTTGATCTATGCCAGGACTCCTTCCAAAGGGGATGAAGCCACGATTTAACCCAGTTTCGGGCTTAAAGCGGCCAAATCAAACCTGGCAGCCCGGCAGGCCGTTCACCGAGCAGCGGTGCCAGCCGGTTCCGCAATGATGCCCGGCCAACCGTTTGCAGCCGGTGCAATTGGGGAAAGGCGACCTCTGCTTCCCCGGGTGCCGCAGAGCATCTTCCGTCCCCCCCGGAGGCGGGGAGTCCCTCCCAGGCTTGGAAAGCCCACGGCGCCCCATTGCATTCGGGGGTCCTCCGGCTCGGGAACCCACAAACACACACACACACAGCTAGCCACGCTCGCGCCGGGCACCCCCTCTGCAAAGCCCAGAGCCTTGTGGGAGGAGCCTCCGAGGCGGCTGGGCGGGCCCGGGCGCGACGCGCGACCAATCAGGAGCGAGAGGGGGTGGGCAGCCAGCCAACGCCTCGGCGCTCGGTAGCCCGTGGCGGTCAAGCGGCGGCGGCGGCGGCGACAGGGATGAGGATGGCCGCGGTGGCGAGCCCGGCCGAGCGGGCCGTCTTGGTAAGGCCCAGCCGCGGAGTCCATGAGGGAGATGTGCGGGTGTGAAGAGGGCGAGGTTGAGGGAGCGCGTGACGTGACTGAAAGCGAGGGGGCGGGTGACGTCACTGTCCTGCGCGTGACGTCACCGGGCGAGAGGGCTCACGTCGCCTTTTTTGGGGGGGGACGATCGGAGGCGCTTCCAGGAACGGCCTCTTGGGGCCCTTGGAGGCCTCGCTACACCCCTGCGAGGTGGGCCCGGGCGCGCGAGAGAGGAGGGAGGCTGGGTTGGCTTGGCTGCACAAGCCGCAGGTGCTTTGGGGCAGGGGTAGGCAACCTGGGCTCTTTTATGACGCGTGGACTTCAACTCCCAGAATTCCTGAGCCAGCATGGCTCAGCTTGGAAACCTCTCCCTTTCCCCTCAGCATGGCTGGCTCAGGAATTCTGGGAGTTGAAGTCCACAAGTCATACAAGAGCCAAGGTTGCCTACCCCTGCTTTGGGGATTGCTTGGCAAGCGGGGAGGGGCTACAGTTCAGCTCCGGCTTGGGGGGGTCCAAAGGACCAACCCTAATTTGAGAGGGGAGGGGAGGGTCTCTCGTATTTGGGCTGCTGAAATACGGGCGACCACCAGGGGGCAGCCGTGTTCCCCCCCCTTTTTTTTTTTTCTGGTGTCCCTTGGCTGCCACCTCTGGGTTCCTCTGCGGCTTTGCAGCACCAAATCCAGAGCTCTCTGCGCTCCCATCCGAGTTGTGGTGGCCCTAGTAGTCCTCGACTTAACGACCAGAATTGAGCCCAGCGTTTCTATTGCTAAGCGAAGCATTCGTTAAGTGAACTTTGCCCCATTTTACGACTTTCCTTGCCACCGTTGTTAAGCGGATCGCTGCCGTTACTAAGTTAGTAACACGGTTGTTAAGTGAATCCGGCTTCCCCCTGGACTTTGCAGGTCAGAAGGTCCCCAACCTTGGCAACTTTAAGATCTGTGGACTTCAACTCCCAGCATGGCTGGCTAGGGAATTCTGGGAGTTGACATCCACTGGTCTTAAAGTTGCCAAGGTTGGGGACCTCTGCCCTACACCATAGCAGCTCTCCTTGTCCCCCTCGCCAAAAGGGAAATGTTATCTCACAATGCCAGCGCAGGATTGGGAGACCCCTTAATCCAGTGGTTCTCAACCTTTTTAATGCCGCGACCCCAACCGGTTGTAAGTCGAGGACTAAACCGGTCGTGAGTCGAGGACTACCCAACCGGTCGTAAGTCGAGGACTTTCCTTGCCCGGGAGCGCCGCGCATGCGTGGTTCCGCCCCCTGCACCGGCCGAGGCGTAGCTGGCAAGCGGCAGAGACGGAGCAGGCCGACCACCAGCTGGCCCAGCCCAAGGGAGGTAAGGCACCCGACGGAAAAGGGGGAAAAAAATGGCGGACAAAAAAAATGGCGGACAGCCTTGCTTGGCGACCCCCGTGAAATGGTCGATCGACCCCAAATGGGGTCCCGACCCACAGGTTGAGAACCACTGCCTTAATCCTTCCCACCCTCCCACTAGGCTCCTTTGTCAGCTCTGGGGTGGGGCGGTTGCAAGCATCAGCCAGGGATGGATCATATAGCCAGCTGCTTCCCAGGCTTTGGACAAGATAAATATTGCACAATATCTTCCTTTTTCTCCATCTTCCCCCGCTCCCACCTATTAGGACTTTTCATCCTTTGGGGCTGAGCATGTGCCCTCCGCCCTCTGCTTTTGTGGGGCTGGAGGGTGCCATTTAATTTCTGTGCAATCTGCTGCTGCTCAGTCTATGGCAGCGGTTCTCAACATATGGGTCGCGACCCCATTTGGGGTTGATCGACCATTTCACGGGGGTCGCCAAGCAAGGCTGTCTGCCATTTTTTTTCCCCTTTTCCGGCGGGTGCCTTACCTCCCTTGGGCTGGGCCAGCTGGTGGTCGGCCTGCTCCGTCTCTGCCGCTTGCCAGCTACACCTCGGCCGGCGCAGGGGGCGGAACCACGCATGCGCGGCGCTCCCAGGCAGGGAAAGTCCTCGACTTACGACTGGTTTAGTCCTCGACTTACGACCGGTTGGGGGTCGCGGCATTAAAAAGGTTGAGAACCACTGGTCTATGGGAAAGAGACATGGGGCGTGGGGGCTTGGAAAGGGAAGAAGACGACTCCGTGGAAGTGGGTGGATATTGCATTGAAGTTACATAGAGCTGTAAATTATAAGCCCTAATGTAGAGAGCCGTCTACTCAGTACATGAAATGACTGATTCAGCAGAGACCTTAGAACTGGCCAACAGCATCTTCAGTTTGGTGGATTCCATGCTGTACAAGTAGGGAGAAACCTGGCTTAACTTCTCTTTTTTACTTCCTTCCAGTGGCCAATTCTAGTTTATCATTTGCAGTTTTTACCTTGAAATTATACAGTATAGAGCTGTAAATTATAGAGCCTAATATAGAGGGCCGCCTATTCAGTACATGTTGTGCCTAATGTATCTCAGTATACACAGTATGTGCACCTGGTATATTTAAATACATAGGCACTAAATTATAGAGCCATCTATTCAGTCTATGCATTGCATTTTTATTTGAGATTCCCTTATGCCTACATGTGTGCAGTATAAGTCTGCTTTTCTCATCAACAACAATCCTTTGAGGTGGGTTGGTGTGAGAGTAGAATTCACAGTCTCCTGGCTTCTAGCCTTGTGCTTTAGCCACTGGATCAAACTGGCTCTGTGTTTCAACTCTAAGTTGCTGGACTTATAGGTAGAATCTCTGATGCCGGAATAGAATAGAGCTGGAAGGGACCTTGGAGGTCTTCTAGTCCAGCCCCCTGCTCAAGCAGGAGAACCTATACCACCTTAGACAAGTGACTGTCTAGTGGTCTCTTCTTAAAAACCTCCAGTGATGGAGCACCCACAATGTCTGAGGGCAAGCTGTTCCACTGGTTAATTGTCCTCACTGTTAGGAAGTTTCTCCTTAATTCCAGGTTGTTTCTCTCTCTGGTCAGTTTCCAACCATTGTTTCTCGTCCTTCCATCTGGTGCTTTGGAGAATAGTTTGATGTCCTCTTCTTTGTTACAGCCCCTCAAATACTAGAATACTGCTATCATGTCACCCCTATTTCTTCTTTTCTTTAGACCACTAGCCAAAACCAAGTCCTGCAGCCATTCTTCGTATGTTTTAGCCTCCAGGCCTTTGATCGTCTTAGTTGCTCTTCTCTGAACTTTTTCCAAACTCTCAACATCTTTTTTGTGATATGGTGACCAAAATTGGTTGCAGTATTCCAGGTGTGGTCTTATTAGGGTTTTATAAAGCAGTAATAATACTTTGTGTGATCTTGATTCTGTGCCTCTGTTTATACAACCCAGGATTGTATTAGCTTTTTTTGGCTGCTGCTGCACATGGCTGGCTCATATTCAAGTGATCATCCACTAGGACTCCAAGGTCCCTCTGACAGTTGCTGTTTTTGAGCCAGGTCTCGCCCAGTCTGTACTTACACCTTTGATTTTTCCTTCCTAAATGTAAAACTTTGCCTTTCTCCAGATTAAAATTCATCCTGTTGGATAGGGCCCATTGTTCAAGTTTGTCAAGATCTTTTTGGATCCTGAGCTTGTCTTCTGGGGTGTTGGCTATTCCTGCCAGTTTAGTGTCATCTGCAAATTTGAATAAATCCATTAAGCTTTTTAAAACTGCTCGGAAACTCTCTTTTTATTCAGGTCACAGGATACTGTGGTAAGGCATATGATTATAATTTTGTCCAAGCTCATCTTTGGTCTTAGAGCAGGCTGGTATAGTTAAGGCAAAAGCTGTAGAAAATGACTTTTCTCTTTGTAGGCTACACAGTATACTGTAAAATGTAATTAGGAGAGGTCTTTCATTATATTAAATTGGGGTAGCCTAACTTAACATTATTGCGTAAATCACTCAAGACTCTTCTAACAGATATTCTTTAAGTATTTGGAGGGATCTTGGCAAGTCCTATGTACACACATCTATTGCTGTCTGAGAGTAGACAATGAAGGTACAGTTCGCTGTTGTATTTGTACAGACAGCCCTTGTTTCCTACAGATTAGGGGAGGTGCTGTAAAAATTGGCCAGAAGCTTTGGAACAGCGAAAGCAACTTATTAAAATAATTCATATGAAGAAAGAACAGTATAATGAGTGTTGAAGGTTTTACGAGGAACTTATTTTTCCCCTACAGGAACACAAAATGATTTGTTGTTTTTATCTTCCTTTTTTAAAAAGATCTTGGGAAATTTTTTGTTTTTCATTTTCCAGTCTTATCTACATCATGGGAATTTTTTTGCAAGTTTTTCATCTGGGTGTTAATCAGGTCTGAATCTGATTTTTTTTTTAAAGCAGGTTCTGTCTTAGGGAAATAATTCCAAATGCCTCACTGCTGGGTTATGGTTACAGGTAGTCCTTGACTCACAACCATAATTGTGCCAGTTCTTAAGTGAGTCTCCAGGTGACCACATCCCATTTTATGACCTTTATTTTACAGTGCCATTAAGTGAACCAAGTGGCTGTGGTGATCATTAAGCAAATCCATGGTCCGCAATGGGCATTTTTTTTTTTTGCAGAAACAGGAAATTAACGTCCAGGTCAAAGTAAATGTTCCCATTAAAAAAAGTTGTAAATTATAATCACGGGATTGCAGCACAATTGCCAAGCACCCAAAATAGGATCCCATGACTGCTTGGGTGGGGGGGAGGGAGGGACCATGGTGAATTTTGAATCTGGGTTGCAAGTTGCCTTGGGGAAGGTCCATCAGTTGAAGATTACCTGTATTTTCTCCCTCTGCTGTGTCATCCAAGACCGCAGCCTTGTGAATGAATGTGGGCATATAAGTTAATGATTAAAGGGATGTTTAAATTGTCAGGGATCACAGCCTTCTGCAGGAATTTATTTCTCTTTGCTGAAGAACGGTGAAGGTGCCCTTGGAAGGAAACCTGGCTAAAACAATCCCATTGTCCTTCAAGGATTTCTCAATGCCCTTAAGCCAGCCGCTGTGGGTAGCTTACGGAGTCCTTCCTAGCTAGATGTCTTGTTTTTGTTTTATAAATATTTTGTTAGATTTTATAAGGATAAAGGGGAAGTGGGGTCAGTAAGGGTATAACAAGGGGTGACAAACAAAAAAAGATAGACCAGGAGAAGGGATAGATACAGTAGTGGGGATGTCCCCCACAATAAGTCAACGCTTCAGCAAGTAAACCCGTCCGGGTATACGTATTCAATCATAATAATTAATATAAAATAGCAATACTTAATATAATATCACTAATATATATTATTAATTAATTGTAATAACTTTAACACATTAATACATTACTTATTGGTTATGATTACTTATTGTTAAAATCACAAATAAAAAAAACAATCATAGGAATAAACGTGAAATTTAAATACAAAATATCACTTATCCCATTAAGTTTCATAACCTTTTCTCGTTCTATCGTGTTGCTAACCATTGGTAAAATTTATCCCATGTTTTAAAATAGATTGAGTCTTCTTTCTCTTTCATTTCTAAAGTTAATCTGTCCATTTCTGCGCATTCAAGTGTTTTTCTTATTATAATCTGGTCAGATGGTAGATTTTCATTTTTCCAAAATTGAGCAAATGCTATTCTCGCAACTGTTAATACATGTAATATTAAGTACTCGTTCTCTTTTCCATAATTAGATCCTAATATTCCTAGCAAACACAATTCCGGTTTAAATTCTATCTTAATTTTAATCATCTTTTCTAACCACATATGGATCTTAAACCAAAATTTCTTAGCGTTAGGGCATATCCACCAGAGATGATAGTAAGTGCCTGGTTTTTGTTTACATTTCCAACAAATATTTGATACGTTTTTAAAGATTTTCTCTAATCTAACTGGTGTCATATGTAGATGGCTTGTTTTTGATTCCCACTGCGAGCTTCTGTTGTTGCTCTCTGACTACAAGAAGCCCTTGACCTACAACCACAATGGAGCCCCAAATTTATATTGCCAAGCAAGGCAGTTGTTAAGTGAGTTTTGCCCCGTTTTATGACTGTTCTTGCCACACTTATTAAGTGAATCACTGCAGTTATTAAGCTAATCACACAGCTCAGTGAATCTGGCTTCCCCCATTGACTTGGCTTATTTGAAGGTCGCAAAAGGGGATCACAGGACCCGAGGACAGTGCAACCGTCATAAGTACATGCCAGTTGCCAAACGGCCCAATTTTGATCACGTGACTCGGGATGCTGCAGCGATCGTAAGTGTGAAAAACGGTCCTACATCGCCGTTGTAACTTCGAAATCGTCACTAAATGAATGGTAGGTCGAGGACTACCTGTAATACCTTTGGGGGTTGTTAAAAGTGCTTCTCCTAAGTTTACCGAACCTCTTACTCAGACGAGATGCATTTTAGTTTCAGTGCCTGCATAGCCCGCAGCTAAATTTGTTCCCTGTGCAACATTAAATCTCATACCTATTCAGTGGCATCTTAGGAAAGCTTTTAGCCCCTTATGGTGTGTGGATTCCCATTTTGAAAACGCTTTGCAGAAAGGGGCAGTGATAATGTTGGTCTTGATCTCTGGATCTCTCTCTCTCTCTTCAGGAAGAAGAATTTAAATGGCTTTTACGAGAGGAGGTTCACTCCGTCCTTCGTCAGCTGCAAGAGATCCTGAAGGTGCTTACAAAAATTATTATTATTATTCCGAGGATCATGGCCTTTTTTCTTCCAGACTGGTGTGTCATTTCCAAGGCCTCCATTTGGGAGGGCTTTTTATTTGCTGTGGCCTCGGCTTGTGGATCGCTGAAATGGTGTGCAGCTATTCGAATTTGAAGCGGGACCTGGGCGTGCTCGTGGTACCTCTCTTAAATATAACCATACCTTTTCCTGGGCTTGCACAATCGCTGTGAAGCCCTGGGAAAAGACACAGTTGGGCAAGGAGTGACAATCTATGGCTGCCTCTTCAACAGCTCCTCGGCTCGAATCGCCTTTTTCTTGGGACTGCGTAGCTCCTGTGCCACCCTTGGAGCGGGATGGGACCACTCGCCACGGCCAGTTTGCTGCAGGACACCACACCCCAGGACAATCCAACCAATACAAAAATTAATTTTGATAGAGGCATGGCCAATTATAATAAAACGAAGTCAATCCAGAATACAAGAGTTGCAGTCATTTTGATGAAAACACGATCACCCATAATAAAAGTAACGAGTGAAATGTCTAATACAGGGTTGAATGGTCCCCAGTGAGTTGTGCTGCAGCAAGTTGGCCCAAGCAAGCTGTCCTAGACACACACACACACCCCGCCTAGGAAAAGGCACGGCCTTCGTTTTTAAGGACAGCTGCCTGCACCTCCTTCAAACGAGCTTTTCTGCTTGGGATCCAGAGACCGATGCATTCATTCCTAATTGCCTCTACTGTAGCTAAGATAAGATAACATAAGATAACCTTTATTGTCATTTTTTTACTATGGGCACAGTAAAACGGCACACATCAAAAATGAAATTTAGCTGCCCGCTCTCAGAGTGAAACATACATGACACACACCTAAACATACTATGAACAACATATGTATAGACCCATATCCCTACATATACGTAGCAAATAAATATTAAATACTGTCCATCGTGAATATATAATGGAAGGAGGAAGCTTGAGAGTATCAGTATTATGGCCGCTGGTTAGAGCTACGTATCGATTTCACCAGCATGCAGAGGGTCAGGCCCAAGTCATAAGACAACACAGTGAAATCCAATCGAGTCCGATTCTTTATTTGCTTACACTTAATAGACCGAATCTTGCTAGACTGAAGCTATAACCTCCTAATCTAACAGGTATCAGTGGCCAAAATTGTGGAAACCCTTTGGGAAAAGTGTATTTTTGAGGTCTGATGGTTCATAACACCACTTTTTTGGGGGGAGTAGTACCCTAAAATTATATATCAATGGAAAGATAATTTAATCAAGAATGTAACGCAACCAAGTTTGTTCAATTATCTGTACTGTATTCTATGAAAAGCGATAGCCGAATAACCGGAAAAAGGAAGCGCAACTTGCTTAGGTTGATATCCGGTAGCTTTCCTTCATCTGATTGTAGCCAATGGGCATGAGTGTTTAGAGAGCCAATCGGGTGTCATCTTGTTTTGGCAATGAGCCAATCAGATCACAGTAGGACTCAGTTATTGAAGCCGAGAGGAGGACATTTGTCAGTGTGTTGTGTTATCGCCATCAAGTTGGTTGGGGTTTTTTTGTGTTCTTTCATTTAGTGAGCTTGTAAAACATCATAAAATTAAAATCATGGTGCAAAGAGTTGACTGGTCGCCCAGAAAGCGATGTAAAATAGTATTATTAAATGAACAAGGCTACAGTTATAAAGAAATTAGATGGAAACCTAACCAAAGGTGGCGTTTCTACTGTATACTTTTCCCAAAAGGTTTCCACAATTTTGGCCACTACTATAGATCCTGGGAGATTCTATGGTGTGACTATCCTGAATCTTTTTCTCCCTTCCCCCCACAGAGTTCTGGAACGTGCACTTTCTTGTTTGGGTCCTTCTCTGGAATGGGCTGCCCCCTCCCTGGGAAACCCCCAGTCCTCTTGCTGATATTCCCTCCCCCCCCTCACCTTCTCCTGCTGCACATTCCATCACATTGAGCCAGGATGCTTAGTCCAGCATGAAAGTCTTGCTGGAAAAGGATCCCTAGAGAGCAACTAGAGCTTCATCTCTTAAATGTGGCTCGACAGCATCTTGAAAATAATTGGGGCGAAAGATGTTTTCAAATGTAGCCCCTCTCTGCCGCTCTTTACAAATTGTTCCCCCAGGATGGCACGACCGCCTTTTACAGCTGCCACGTCATCCTGAGAAGGACAGGGCTGCTTTAAAGAGACCCAAAGAGGCTGTGTTTTTGATCTTGCCTGCTTTGAAGCTGGTCTCTTTTTTTTTCTCCTCCTTTCTTTGCCCGCTCTATCGTGTTCGGGGGTGGTGGTGGCTGGGGGAAGTTCCTTGGCTGGAATTTCTAAGCAGACTACTAATAATTTATTTACAGTATTGATCTGGCGGGCCTGGAACATCTCTGAATGTGTGAGTTGGATTTAACTTGCAGACACTGTGGAAGGTTGCTAATGGAAGCGGGGGCTGGAATGGATGGTTTGCTTCATTTTTATTTTTATTTTTTTTGCAAACAGCAGGATGTTGCTTTCACTCTCTTTGGCTTTGGGAAAAGAAATATTTGGAGCTGCTAATGCCTCTGGCCCTGACTCTCTTCCTTTTCTTTCTCACCCAGGAGGCTTCTCACCGCTTTAATTTGCCAGCCAGCAGCTCAGAAGGGCCCGTGAAACAGGAGAACTTTATCCTGGGCAGTTCCAAGTAGGTATTGGCCTTGAGTGACCAACTTTTTTTTCATAAGCAGGAAGAAGAGAGAAGCTAGCTAGAAGGGGAAGGGAAACTTAGGGACTGTTTCCCAAACAGTTCCCTTTTTGCTGCACCCTGAATTATTATTATTATTATTATTATTATTATTTATTTTGCAAAAATTGGGCTGAGCAGCAGTCTCTGGGTCAGGAGCCACCATTCTCCCCCCAAGTAGCTGGAGAGCTGCTGGTTTGATGTAGACTTCTCTAGAAAATGAAATGAATTCCCTGTGTGAGAAGCCTTTCATCTCCTCCCTGCGTCTGGGGAATTGGTTAAGCAGAACATTCAGCCTAGCGGAGATGATCAACCAGCTACAACCGAAGCCTGGCAGCCCTTTTATTTTTATTTTTTTAACTGTATTCAAGGCAGCGTGCGTTTCATCATCAAGTCCCTCACCAGGCCTGAGATTCACAGTCCTGTTGTGAAAACAACAACGCACAGCTCCTCTCTCGAGAGCTCACCGAGCTAGCCCCAGTTACTAAATCCGATTGATCCTACTTGGATGAGAATCAACCTCTCTGTGCCTGATTGGACTGCTGGCGCCCCCAAAGCTGGCTGAAATTGGAAGCTCCCAAGGTCTCCAGATGGCTTCAAAACCCATTTTGCATCTGTTGCGTTTGCTTGTGTGCAAGGCAAGGGACGGCTGCATTGTGTTGCCCCATTAATTCCCTGTCTTTATTTCAGCGTTGACCAGGTGAAAGGAGTCCTAACGCTCCAGGGTGATGCTCTGTGTCAAGCGGTGAGTTCAGTGCAAGTTTTAACAGAACAGAACAGAACAGAATAACAGAGTTGGGAGGGACCTTGGTGGTCTTCTAGTCCAGCCCCCTGCTCAGGCAGGAAACCCTATACCACTTCAGACAAATGGCTGTCCAGTCTCTTCTTAAAAACTTCCAGTGTTGAAGCACCCACAACTTCTGGAGGCAGGTTGTTCCACTGGTTAATAGTTCTAACTGTCAGGAAATTTCTCCTTAGTTCTAGGTTGCTTCTCTCTTTGGTTAGTTTCCACCCGTTGCTTCTTATCCTGCCTCCAGGCGCTTTGGAGAATAGCTTGACTCCCTGTTCTTTGGGGCAGCCCCTGAGATACTGGAAGACTGCTATCATGTCCCCCCTCATCCTTCTCTTCATTAAACTAGACATACCCAATTCCAGCAACCGTTCCTTATATGTTTTAGCCTCCAGTCCCCTGATCATCTTTGTTGCTCTTCTCTGCCCTCTTTCTAGAGTCTCAACATCTTTTTTACATCGTGGTGACCAAAACTGGATGCAGTATTCCAAGTGTGGCCTTACCGAGGCCTTGTAAAGTGGTATTAATACTTCACGTGATCTTGATTCTATCCCTCTGTTAATGCAGCCTAGCACTGTGTTGGCTGAATAGTGACTGGCCATTGGGGTGGGGGGGTGGCTGGGATGTGGGGAAAACTTTCTGTATCTTTTGAATGCGGGAAATTTAGTTCTAGCCTGACACTACTGCAACCAACATCTTTTAGTAAAAGAACCGATCACTTCAACCAAATGGAATCCAGGGTCTTTCTTTCCTAAGAGATCGGACTGGGGCCAGGTCTAACACTCTCATCTTCCTCCCCACCTCTTGACAAGCCATCAGATCTCTGGCTTGGTCAAGAAGATCAGCTAAACAACTAACTCTCTGGCATCTTTTGTTCACCTCAAGCCTCTTTTTCTTTTTCTTTTAAAGAAACAAGAGGCACTGTCTTGCGAATGCAGCTCAGGAAATATTTCCAGCGTTCTTTGCTTGATATCCAGCACACACCCAGCACTTTTATTTGTTTTGTTTTGTTTTATTCGTCAAATGTTGGAATTTGCTTTCCCCCATTAGAAATTAGAAGGGAGGGAGAATGCCTGCTGAACCTGAATTCTGGAAAGGAAGCTTGTGTGATCTAACAGGTCTCTCTTCTTTTAACAGGACATTAACTTGAAAATGCCCAGAAATAACCAGCTGGTGCACTTTGCCTTCCGGGATGACAAACAGTGGAAACTCCAGCAAGTACGTTTAACGTCTTGGTCTTTGGTAGATTTCTCTTCCTGTTGAAAAGAATTGAGGGTCTTGGTTTGGGGGGGGGGGATAAAAAATGCCAAGAGAAAAGAGAACATGTGGACTTTCCACTTTCCAAACTTGCAAGGATTTTCCAAATTACCCTTAGCCTCCCTCCCTCGATGCTTTTTTCAACTCCCTACCCAAAACCCAAATTCTTCGATACCTTTGTGTGTGTTTTTTTTTCTCAAAACCAAGTTGTGAAGATGGGAGTTCTGCATTTGAAATATCGCATCGATGAAAAGTCAAATCGAAATTGGGCTAGTTGTAGGAACCACGGAGTTTTAGACTTCTCTAGTAAAGAAACTCCAGAGAATCTTTGTTTTTTTATGAAGGGAAATGTTGACACAGCACCTCTCCGTTTGTTATCCTGTATATAAGAGGGAGGTTGACTTGTTTCCAAATCAGCCAGAGGGCAGCTGTATCCTGCTCCAGTGGCCTCTAACCTCCTTAAAATTGCCTGTATTGGTTGGGAACACTTAGGCTTTGGAGAAAGTCAACCTGGTCCAAAGGGTGCTTGCAAGTAGCCATCAACTTACAACCACAACTGAGATTGGAAAATTCACTGTTCAACAGTGTGGTCGTTAAAAGAGGCATCCTGTGATTGTTATTTGCAATCTTCCCTGATGGATTCCCATTAACTTTGCTTGTGGGAATCCAGCTGGGAAGCTTGCAAATGGAGATCAGTTGACTCCGGCACGGTGCCACCATCATAAAGGCAAGCTGGTTGCCAAATCTCTGGATCCTGATCACGGGGGAGGTGGGGGCTGGTAAGTGCAAGGACCAGTTTTAAGACACTTTTTCAGTTGCTAAACGAATGGTCGTAAGTCAGGGACTCCCTGCTTAGAACATCCTTCAGATTAAGTTTAAGTTTACAATCCAGACCAGAGAGAAGGCAGGGAATCCTCCTTTCTCCCGTGTTTGATACATTTACTAGTCCTGCTTTTTCACTCTCCTGAAAGACGGGAACAAAAATCCAGAGCTTTTAAGGAAAATGCCCGTCTCTCTCCGGAGGGCACGGTTTGGGGAGACAGACGTAGGGCTCTACCCCAAATGTGGGACTGCCCTTTGAGTTGCATTTAAATTAGCTAGTTGGAAAAATGCATGCACCATTTTAATCAGGTAGAAGGATGGACAGGCCCATAGATAGCTCTTCTTTCAATCTTACTGTTCAGTTGGACATTGTTCACAGCCGGGGAAGAGACGCTGCTAAGGAAACGTTCCGATAAGAGACTGCTTAGCCCACAGCTGGAGAGCGGGTGGGGCAAGAGGCTCAGACTGGACCCTCCCTGTATTCTTGGCTGCTCTGATTAAAAAAAAAAAAAGCACAGTTTATTAACAATGGCAAGGCAGGCTGTTCTAGGAAAAAAAAGGGATTTGTGGAGGAGGAAAGGGCTGCCTTGAGAGGTGGATCAAGCCGAGAGGCAGGATTGCGACGTTCACTTAATCATAAGGAAGGAGGGATTTTTTGCCTTAAAAGAAGAAAAGATTCAGGATGGAGTTTTTGGCAGGGGCTGCAAAAAATATAGAGAGAGTCCAGGGCCTCATGTTTCTCGTCTGTGATATTGAAGGACAGAGTAAAACCCCTTTTCTTATTCTCCATTTTTTGATCAACAAACACCAAATGAGTCTCCTAGACTGAATCTGGGCCATCCTGTGCTTCGGTTTGTGTGTGTGTGTGTATTTGTTTGTCTGTATCTTTTTTTTGTTGCGAAAGAACAAAGTGGAACAACGACTGATGACCTTCTTTTACCGGTCCACTATAGAAAGTGTCCTCTCACATTACGTTATGTTGTGGTATACTGGCTTGGCAGCCGCGGACAGAAAGTCACTACAGAGGGTGGTGAGCACAGCACAAAACATTGTGGCTGTCCCCTGATACCACTAGACGCCATCACTAGGGCCCGCTGCCTTAGAAGAGTGAGGAAAATCCTCAGGGACGACTCACACCCTCGTCAGCACTTCTTTACTCTCCTACCACCGGGCAGGAGATATGGAAGCATAGCCAGCCGCACCAACAAGCTGGAGAACAATTTCTACCCGTGGGCTGTCAGACTCCTGAATGGGAAATAACTCCATGTAGAAGGCCAGATTCTGAAGTTGAAACTCAAGTACTTTGGCCACCTAAGGAGAAGGAAGGACTCACTGGAGAAGAGCCTGATGCTGGGAAAGATGGAGGGCAATAGAAGAAGGGGACGACAGAGAAGGAGGTGGCTGGATGGAGTCACTGAAGCAGGAGGCGTGAGCTTAAATAGACTCCAGAAGATGGCAGAGGACAGGAAGGCCTGGAGGAACGTTGCCCATGGGGTCGCAATGGGTCGGACACGACTTCACAACTAACAACAACAAAGGGATGAGCTGCAACCATAAAATATAAATAAATAACTATAAATAAAATGTCTAATCTTACAAATGTCTAATCTAACAACTTCGCAATTAACAACAACAACGATAGACTTGCGGGGCCGGTGCATTGTGCAATAAGTTCACATGGTGTAATAAAATGGTGTGTTTGTTGTCATGGTGATTTGTGATGGGGGAATGCACGAAGGGAGGCTCAGCCAATCTCATTGTACACATGTTGTACTTTGATGATAAAGGATTGATTTTATTATTATTATTATTATTATTATTATTATTATTATTATTATTATTATTATTATTACTACTACTACTATTACTATTATTACTATTATTATTATTATTATTATTATTATTATTATTATTTATTGGTTTCTTTTTCAGATTCAGGATGCCAGGAACCATGTCAACCAAGCGGTCTACCTGCTCACCAACCGGAGTGCCAATTACCAGTTCAAGACGGGATGCGAAGTTCTCAAGGTGTGCCAAGGGCTCTGCTTCCCACTGCTCAAACCAAGGTCCCTTCCAACTCTTGTTATTCTGTTAACTGCCTTGTGGAGTTGATTTCCTTGTCTGGGTGATCTTGGGAGGGAGCGTGGGGGGGGGCTGACAGCAACCCCCATTTCCAGCTCAACCTAAACAAGACTCTGTGCTATTTTTTGTGGGTTTTTTTTTCCTTCACCCCAGCTGATGGACGCTGTGATGCTGCAGTTGACACGAGCTCGGAACCGGCTCACCACTCCTGCTACTCTGAGCTTGCCAGAGATCGCCAGCAGTGGACTCACGGTGAAATTGGGGTGTGGGGGCGTGGGTGGGGGACCTTTAAGAGGGTGAGAAAATGGATATTGGGACTGCTGGCTGGACTACATTAATACGCTGGGTTCGTTTTCTCCTCTTCTCTCCAGAAAATGTTCACTCCCGCACTGCCCGGAGATATCCTGATCAACTTCTACATCAACCTAAATAAGCTCTGCTTAACCGTCTACCAGTTGCATCCTTTGCAGCCCAGTTCCACCAAGGTATGGAAGCAGCAGGGGCCTCCCAGCCCAGCCCCCCCCCCCGGACGCTTGGCTATCAAAAGCGGTCCTCGGCTTGTAACCATTTTTGTTTAGTGACCATTTGAGGTTACAGAGGCCCTGGGAAAAGCGAACCGTGGCCGTTTTTCACACTTAGGACCACGGTCGTGTGATCAAAAATCCGGGCGCTTGGCAACCGGTTCAGATTTATGACGGTCGCAGCGTCCCAGAGTCAGGTGATTCCCCTTTGGCCACTTTCTGACAAGCAAAGTCAATGGGGGAAGCCAAATTCACTTACTAATTTAACAATCGCAATGATTTCACTTAAAATCTGTGGTAAGGAAGGTGATAAAATAGGGCAAAGCTCACTTCACAACTGTCTCACTTAGCAGCAGAAATGTTCATCAGGCTCAGTTGTGGCCGTAAGTCAAGGACTCCCTGTATTGTCTGTTCACAACAGCTCTCTTTGGTCACTCTCAGAGAGGTCAGTGTCGGTTCCAGTGCCCAGCAACAGAACGCCCCGCCTTCATGCACACACTAGTTCTTCAGTGTGGCCTAAACTTGGGGAGATTGCGGGCTGGTATGTTTTCAAAAAAAGAGATCATTGATTCTTAAACCAGACTGACAAATCATCACCCAGCCTAGAAGAAATTTCCCGACAGTGAGGACAGTTAATCAGTGGAGTAGCTTGCCTCCTGGCATTATTTTTAGAATAGAACAGAGCTGGAAGGGACCTGGGAGGTCTTCTAGTCCAACCCCCTGCTCAAGCAGGAGACCCTATGCCAGGGGTAGGCAACTTTGGCTCTTTTATGACTCGTGGACTTCAACTCCCAGAATTCCTGAGCCAGCCATGCTGAGGGGACAGGAAGAGGTTTCCAAGCTGAGCCAGGCTGGATCAGGAATTCTGGGAGTTGAAGTCCACGAGTCATAAAAGAGCCAAGGTTGACTACCCCTGGTATAGACCCACACCCCTACATATACATAACAAATAAATATTAATCCCTGTCCATCTTGAATATATAACGGAAGGAGGAAGCTTGAGAGTTCACAAGGTTAATGCTGTACAGAATGAAACTATGGCTGAATCTGGATGTTCTGCTACGGGTACCAAGTGCCCAGATTTTGGTCACCTGTCTGTGGGGATGCTGCAATGGGTCATAAGTGTGAAAAACGGGTCATAAGTCATATTTTTTTCAGTGCCATTGTAAGTTCGAATTGTTGCTAAATGAATGTTGTGAATCGAGGTCTACCTGTAAGCCTAGTGCAAGCTTGGCTCTTTTATGACTGGTGGACTTCAACTCCCAGAATTCCTGAGCCAGCCATGCTGAGGGGACAGGGAGAGGTTTCCAAGCTGAGCCAAGCTGGCTCAGGAATTCTGGGAATTGAAGTCCACGAGTCATAAAAGAGCCAAGGTTGCCTACCCCTGCCCTATACCAATTCAGACAAGTGGCTGTCCAGTCTTTTCTTAAAACCCCAGTGATGGAGCACCCACAACTTCTGGAGGCAAGTCGTTCCATTGGTTAATTGCTCTCGCCAGTAGGAAATGTCTCCTTAGTTCTAGGTTGCTTCCCTCCCTGGTTAGTTTCCATCCATTCTTGTCTTGCCTTCTGGTGCTTTGGAAAATAGGTTGACCCCCCCCCCCTCATTTTACAGACTTGTGAGCCCTCCATCACTGGAGGTTTTCAAAAATAGTCTGGACCGCCTTTTGACTGGGATGGTACAAGGTCTCTTGCCTTGAGCAGGGGGGAGGGTGTTGACTAGAAGACCTCCCAAAGTCCCTTCCAGCCCTGTGATTCTATATTCTAACGTCTATAAGTTAGGACTCCTTTGGTTATAACAGCTCTAGTAACCTAATCTTGCAGATCTGAATGTATTTCCTCTCCCTGTCTTTATCTTGATGTGGACTAGTGAGATGTTTTCTCAAGTTACTTTCTTGGCCCCTCTTATCTAGCCGTTGCCTTGGTAACCGATTTTCTTCCTATCCTTGGTCCCTTTCTTCTGCCCTTTACAGAAGGGGTAAAGTTTTTTACATGTCACATACTATCCTTCTTTTTCTTCTTCTTGTGCCCTATCCGTTATCGGACGTTGGCGATCATGTTGGCGATCCTGTTTTTATCAGCAGCCGAACGAAAAAGTGCTGCTGAGTTTTGTCCAAACCAGTCCCTTAGATTTTGAAGCCACAATGTTCTTCTTCTGCCTGGACCTCGTTTGCCTCCCATCTTTCCCTGGAGGATTACATGGAGTATGCCGTATTTTTCTGGGTGTCGCATCACCTGTCCGAAATATTCTAATTTTCATTTTTTAATTGTTTTGATGACTTCCCTTGGCTTTCCCAGGCGGCTTATCACCTCCTCATTTCTGATCTGGTCAACCCAGCTTATACGTTAACAGCCGCCTGTAAATCCACATTTCAAATGCTTCTAGTCTCTTCAGGTGGCCTTCTGTCAGAGACCGACTCTCTACTCCATAGAGCAGGATAGGAAAAATATAGCCTCTGACAAGCCTGATTTTCAGTCTTAGGCTTATGTCGTGACTGCAGAAGACCTTTTTCATTTTGAAGAATGCTATGCGGGCTTTTTCTATCCTTGCTGTTGCAGAATGTTGTGAAATACAGTTAACCAATCTGGTTAGCCAGTTCGTTGGCTCTGTCTCTTTAAGGAGTAGGAAACGGCGACACAGATAAGGGCTGACTTGAATTGCCAAAAAAACCCCCCAGTAAATACACTGTTTGTACTCAGTGACCTAAAATGGATGTGCTACCACAAGAGGTTATTAACCCAGTTCAAAGAGTTTTCATTCATTCGTTTATTTATTTTAAAAAAAACAAGCATAAATTTCCATTGATAAAGTCGTCACGCAAAAGGGGAGATTTTATATATTTTATTTTTGATACAGTCTGTCCTACTCTCCGAAAAGCGGGGTCAAAGGCCTTATGTTCCTTTTCTTATCCGTTGGGGGGTCCCAAAGGTGCTTTTTCTCCAAAAGGCAAAATGGACTTTCTTGGTATTTTTCCCCCCCTTGAAAACATTTTGCTTCTCATCCAAGAAGCTTCTTCAGTTCTGAACCTCTTTCTTCTACTTCCTGTTGCTAAAATGAAATGACTGATAGTTTTTTTGGGGGGCTGCCTCTCGCCAATATTGCCCAACCAGCCCAATATTCTGCCTCTGGGTGAGAGTCGGAGTGATGTAACAGTGGAGGTGTTGGCCTGGCACAGAGGAGAGCCTTGTTCTACTCCTTCCTCAACCAGAGAAGCTCCCTGGAGGAAATGGTAGATGAGAATGACCTTGTCAGAATGGCAGGGATGAGATGCTGCCTAGGGAACAGTCAGATAAGAGAGGGCCTAGCCTGCAGCCAACGTATAGTCCAGACCATGGTTTTCCCAGTTGCAATAGACGGCTGTGAAAGTTGGACCATAAGAAAGGCTGAGCGCCAAAGAATGGAGGCCTTTGAACTCTGGTGCTGGAGAAGACTCCTGCGAGTCCCCTGGACTGCAAGGCCATCAAACCAGTCAGTCCTAGAGGAGATCAACCCTGACTGCTCTTTAGAAGGCCAGATCCTGAAGTTGAAACTCAAGTACTTTGGCCACCTAATGAGAAGGAAGGACTCACTGGAGAAGAGCCTAATGCTGGGAAAGATGGAGGGCAAGAGAAGAAGGGGACGACAGAGAAGGAGGGGGCTGGATGGAGTCCCTGAAGCAGTAGGCGTGAGCTTCAATGGACTCCAGAAGATGGTAGAGGACAGGAAGGCCTGGAGGAACCTTGTCCATGGGGTCGCGATGGGTCGGACACGACTTCGCAACTAACAACAACAACAAGCCTGCAGCTGCCTAACAGCCAGAGAAAGATGCTCACAAATAGAGATGCCTCTGTAAATTACCAGGCTGTAAAAAAAAGAGTAACAGGTTGGTACGTTCATAATTCTCAGACTTGCAAGATTTTGTTATTGTAGGCTCACAATAAAGCCGAATTAGCACATCTGGTCATGTTTCCTGTTTGGTTTTCTTGGAAAAGCTGACACTGGATGACTCTGAGGCACAACTCTCTCTCCCATTGGCTACTCTCTCTCTATTTCACAAGATTTTGGGTGGGCGGGTGGGTGGGTGTGGAATGGAGAAGGGAGAGAACTGGGAAAGCCAGAAGCAGCAAAAACGATAGTGTGGGACTACATCCAGGATTTGCATTAAGCATGGTCAGCATTAAGCAACTTCAGAAAGTGAGCGGTAGTTCCCCAGCTTGACAGGAAACCAGATGTGCTGCCTGGCTCAAGTCCCTTTCATTCTGTAAGAGACAGCCCAGTGCCAAAGCGGTTGTCCGGCACGAGGGAAGAGAAGATCCAGCTTCAGCCATGAAAGTTCACAGGGGGTCTCTGAGCCAGCCACCCCCCTCGCCCCAATCTGCTTAGTAAGGCCACATCTGCAATACTTCATCCAGTTTCGGTCACTACATTACAAAAAAGATGGTGAGATGTGCAAAGAAGAGCAGCTAAGGTGATTAAAGGCCTGGAGACAAAAACATATGAAGAACGGTTGCAGGAATTTGGGAATGGCCAGTCTAGAGAAAAGAAGGACGAGGGGAGACATGATAGCAGTATTCCAGTATTTGAGGGGCTGCCACAAAGAAGAGGGTGTCAAGCTATTCTCCAAAGCGCCTGAAGGCAGGACAAGAAGCAATGGATGGAAACTAATCAAGGAGAGAAGCAACCTAGAATTAAGGAGAAACTTCCTGACAGTGAGGACAATTACCCAGTGGAACAGCTTCAGATGTTGTGGGTGCTCCATCACTCGAGATTTTTAAGAAGAGACTGGACAGCCACCTGTCTGAAATGATACAGTGTCTCCTGCTTGAGCAGGGGGCTGGACTAGAAGACCTCCAAGGTCCCTTCCAGCTCTATTCTGTATTCTCAGGATTGTTGGGGGGGGGGAGAAAAACAGGATGAGGGAGTAGATTGCCTTTAGTTCCTCAGCTACAAGAGGGAGGCTACTTGGGCGCTAAGTTCAGAATTACATTAAGAAGATGAGACAGGTTATCTGGTGACACAACACCTTCTCACATCTGGGCAAGGCTATATTAAAGCCCCAAGATGGTGGCTTGCTGAGAATGATAGAAATTAGCATCCCCTCTTGGGGCAGGGATTTGAGTAGGAGAGGAATTGCCTGTCCTGTGGAGAAAATCCTACGTAGTTAGTAGAAGCTGAAAAGGATGACCCATAATCAGCCAATCATTCTGTCTTCTGATCTACTTCCTGATTTTTTTTTAACTTTATCTCCGATTCTCACAGCATCACTTTGATCCCTATAGAGATTAAATAAGATGATCTTAATGGAAATACGCAAGATCCATTGCTTGGGGGACGAGGGCTGACACATTTTTAAATCCGAAAGAGATAACATTCGGAAACAACTCAGACACCTTCCTAATTCACTGAACTATAAGCAGACGGGAAAGATACAACAAAGTCAGATTTTCAAGATTCTGTTAGTGCAGGGCTTTTCAACCAGTGGTACGGGTACCACCTGTGGTACATTGGCACCTGGCAGGTGGTACGCGGCCATCCTAGAAAAGTGGTAGCAGGGGAGGGGAATGAGCTGAACTGGTGGTAGCACTGCACAAGCCTGAGCGAGAGACGGCTGGAGCTGCAGGGCATCAGGGCTCAGCGGAAGCGCCAGGATCAGCGCCAGGTTCCAGCTGGAGCTTGGCACTGATCCTAATGCTTCTACTGAGCCCTGAAGAAGCACCAATCAGCTGGAAAGCAGCACAGATCCTGGAGCTTCTGCTGAGCCCAGAAGAAGCGCCGATCAGCTGGAATGTTGCAGCCTCTCCAGGGTCTTGTGATTTACATTCAGATGCTTGGCAACTGATTCATATTTATGACGGTCACAGTGTCCCAGGGTCATGTGAAGGGACCAAAACCTGCTGCAACCACCCAGCAGACGGGGGGGGGGGGATAAAAACCAAACACCCCCCACCCCACCCCCGCTGCCAATCCTCAAAAGAAATGCTCACAGCAATGAAAATCTTGGACAGGAGGAAGAGTGCCGCCGGGTGGGCAGGTGGCGTCTTGCTCGGCTGTGGCTTGGGGGGCACTTTTTTCAGTGCCATTGTAACGTCGAACAGTCACTAAGCGAACTGTTGTAAGTCGAGGACTCCCTGTACTTTATCACTTTTTTCCCTTTTTTTGGTCCTCAAGTTTTTGATACCTTGCTAGGCGACTGGTGGTCCTCGGATGTTGCCCTATCCTAAAAGTGGTACAGTGGGTGAAAAGGTTGAAAAGCCCTGTGTTAGTGTAGTAGCCAGTCAGAAGAAAAGCAGTTTTAGTCTTTCTGGTCTACCTGGCAACGACCTAGGCAGGGTTTCCATGCAAAACCCGAATCCCTAGAAATCCGTTTCTCTGACTGATGGGGGGTTTCTACTTTTTCAGAATTTCCGCCCAGCTGGAGGGTCCATCCTGCATAACCCCGGGGCCATGTTGTAAGTACCACTGCGTCACCTGGAGAGCTTGCCTTGATGGCAGAAAGCCAATGTTTTCTCCCTGTGTTGCTTCCCCGACAGCAGAAGCCTCTTTTTCTCCTCCTGCAGCGAGTACGGAAACCAAAGATACGAAGTCAGCCACGTGCACAAGGTGGAGAGTGTGGTGCCCTGGCTGAACGATGCCCTGGTTTTCTTCACCGTCTCCCTGCAGCTTTGCCAGCAGCTCAAGGATAAGGTGAGGTGAAGGGGGGGGGAATTGTTGAATGATGTTTTTTGCTTTCCTAGTATATATATCAACAACCTAAGATATGCAGATGATACCACTCTAATGGCAGAAAGTGAAGAGGAACTAAAGAGCCTCTGGGTGCGGGTGAAGAAGGAGAGTGCAAAAGTTGGCTTGAAGCTCAACATTAAGAAAACCAAGATCATGGCATCCGGCCCTCTCAATTCCTGGCAAATAGATGGGGAAGAAATGGAGGTAGTGACAGATTTTTATCTTCCTGGGCTCCAAGATCACCGCCGATGGGGACTGCAGCCAAGAAATTAAAAGACGCTTGCTCCTGGGGAGGAAAGCTATGGCAAATCTAGACAGCGTACTAAAAAGCAGAGACATCACCCTGCCAACAAAAGTGCGTATAGTCAAGGCCATGGTTTTCCCAGTTGTAATGTATGGCTGTGAAAGTTGGACCATAAGAAAGGCTGAGCACCAAAGAATTGAGGCCTTTGAACTATGGTGCTGGAGAAGACTCCTGCGAGTCTCCTGGACTGCAAGGCGATCAAAGCAGTCAGTCCTAGAGGAGATCAACCCTGACCGCTCTTTAGAAGGCCAGATCCTGAAGTTGAAACTCAAGTACTTTGGCCACCTAATGAGAAGGAAGGACTCACTGGAGAAGAGCCTGATGCTGGGAAAGATGGAGGGCAAGAGAAGAAGGGGACGACAGAGAAGGAGGTGGCTGGATGGAGTCACTGAAGCAGTAGGCGTGAGCTTCAATGGATTCCAGAAAATGGTAGAGGACAGGAAGGCCTGGAGGAACGTTGTCGAACGTTGGCTTTATATGCAAAACATCCCAAGTTTGATCTACAGCCTTTTTAAAAAAAGACATCAGCATATATGCTGATGCTGGCTGCTGCCCTAGAAAGAGGAACGGTCATATTTAGCTATAAGGCAGAAATATAATAGTATGTGGGAAAGATCTTGGGAGAATCAAAATCACGTGAAGTATTAGTACCGCTTTATAAAGCCTCAGTAAGGCCACACCTGGAATACTGCATCCAGTTTTGGTCACCACATTACAAAAAAGATGTTGAGACTTCGGGGCAGGGGGGAAATGCAAAGAAGAGCAACTAAGATGATTAAGCACCCGGAGACTAAAACCGGTTGCAGGATTTGGGTTTGGCTAGTCTAAAGAAATGAAGGACGAGGGGAGACATGATAGCAGTCTTCCAATATCTCAGGGGCTGCCCCAAAGAAGAGAGGCGATGCTGCATCTTTGGCAATTTAGCCTGCATTTTTAACATTGCCTTGTCTAGTCCAGTGCCACAATGTAGAGGAACAAAAGACCTCTTCAGAAAAACCAAGATTCTTTGCCTAAAAACAAAGCAGTACTTCCTTTTTTGGGAAATGTCAGTCGAGGATACGATTCCCGTTGCAGATTTGACTCTGCTGAAGAACTGGAGCTAATTACCCATCACCCGCCCGCTTCTGATCTCCTTTTGTGTTCTTTTTTTCCCCCCAGATTGCTGTGTTTTCCGGCTACTGGAACTATCGGCCCTACTGATCTTCCTGCAAAGTGTGGTCCGGTCAGTTTCAGCCACTCTCTCCCTGTGAAGATCTCATGATATAAACTGTTAACCTGTGAAGAACATCCCGATTCTGCCACTCCATGGGTAGTAGCTGACGGGCAGGAGGCAACGCCTGCCATCAGTGTCTTTGTATTCAGAATGTCATTATTTATTAGCACTTTAGAAGTACCTTCATTTCTTTCCATGGGCATCAAAGCCAGGCTGAGCCAATAAACACTGGTCAAACTGCACCCCGTTTGGGGGAGGGTGGGAAGGTTGTTACAAACGGGATGAAGAGCAGCCTTTGCTGACCTGCATTGGGCTTCTCTCAGAAAGACCAACTATGGGGTGGGTCACCTCTTGTTCCTTGTCATGTTTTGGGTTTTGCTTTCCCTCCCGCCTGCCCATACTCTAGCCTTTTGCACCATCGTGATAGTTCACTTCCATAAATGAAAGCGGACAGCTGGGTTTTTGGTAGTAGGTCACCCCCTATTTCTTAGAAGCAGAAAGACACTGCTACTTCATCAGGTCTTCCAGAGAACCTTTGCTGCCCACCAAACAGTAGAAAAGACCACAAAGTGGTCTTGTTAATAAAACAAAGTTGATTGCTGCTAAACATACGTGAATCCTAATCCTTGCTCCTAGTATTGTGTATGGAATAAACCTTTCCGGTTCTCGTGGTCCATGGCTTGGTGTTTTGGGAGGAGAACCTTTGACAGAGGATTCTTTGGGGGAGAGGTGGTGGGACATGCATGAGAGATGGAGAGGAAAAGATGGACACATGGAACGAATTTCCATTTGCTCCAGAATGGCTAAATTCAGTCCTGGACCAAAATAACCCAGAAGTTCATTTTCTTGACAGGAAAGGATCCAGGCTTTTTTATCCATGCTGGTTGGTGTTTTTTAATCACACACAAAACGTGGATTCTCCCCACCCTCTGTTGGGTCTATTAAAGCTTGGATGGAGGGGGGACATCAAAACAATCACCTTTTCTTCAGTCGCTTTTCAGCCATCCAAGTTTATTCAACAACAGTTAGAAACTTAAAAAGATTCGCTGCAATTGGAGATTACATTTTACACTGAAAATTAAGACATTGATCTTGAAAAGTAACAAATCTGGGAGGTTAGAACAAGAAGGTATAAATCAGTGGTGTCCAATCTTGGCGACTTTTAAGGCTTGCAGACTTCAACTCCTCCCAGAATTCTGGGAGTTGAAGTCCGCAAGTCTTAAAAGTTGCCAAACTTTGAACACCCTTGGTACAAAGCATCCTGAACTGATAAAAAAAACATTTTCAGTCTTACAAGGAGAACAACGTTGTACAAAGGTGTTACAAGGTCCGGGGCGATTCTATAGAGAAATCTAGGACAATAAAAACATCCGGCTCTCAATAACATTTCTTGAGTTGTACGTCTTTCTTTGCTATCGGCACTTGATGGGAATGAGATGGCCAAAGTAGACACCTTGTGACTGACACTCCATTTTTAAAGCACATACTGACAGATCCAGCTGGTAGACCACAAGGTGTTTGCAAGCCTTTGCGAAGGAGGATTATCATTGTTCATGGACTACGTGTTTCGTTAGCTCTCTCCTTGTTACTAATGATCAGAAGCAGCCGATAGTTGGCAATGGTGAGAATTCTTGAATTGTTCTCCCCAGCTTATGGCAGATAGACATGGACTGAGAATCATCATAGGAGTATCTAAGCCTCTTGAGGCTCCACCTGTTGTGAAGTTCCTTCAAGAAGAAATCTGATTCTTAACAACAAATTCCAGCAGAGCAGAGAAAAATCAGTAAAGACGGATGCTCGGGCGACTGGTCATACGGAGTCTAAGGGTCCATCCCCATATTATCGATACCAACTTTTCTTTTCTTGACCTGTAATGGAAGAGTGGCTGTAATGTTTGGAATCTCAGAGGAAAAAAAAAGCATTAAATGATAAAAGGCAAATTTGTCCAATGGGAATTGTATTTATTCAGCCAGAATTCAATTCCAGAATTGGTATCTTACCCAAATTTTGTTAGAACAAGAAAAGGCAACTTAGTCTGACCCACCAACAGTTATTTTGTTCCCTGGGGTCTTCTAATAAGTCATTGTTGTGTCAGTGTTGAAGCTATGCTGCCCCCTAGTTTTCTCTGAACTTTTTTTACCCTTTTGTGTGTGTGGGGGGGGGAAAGTTACATATTAAATTTATATGGCACCCATCTCGCTATCTGAAGTAACTTGGAATGTTCTTTCAGGAATGAAGTTATGACAAAGTTGTTACAGCCAAAACAGCCTCAAGAAAGGGGATGCTTTCTGCAACCAGGGTCCTCACCGGAGCCTGGCACTGGAGAAGATAATTTAGTTCCATGCATTTCATCTCTGCTCAGTACAGCGGTCTTAATTCAAGCATCTCTAATGGGCCAATCTGCCAAGCTGGAGGCCTGAATCTGGTCCATCTTTTAAATACGCAACTTGAGGCCCTTTCATTGTTGAAGCTGCTTACCTTCTTGTACGAACTGGGAGAATCACAATCGCAGCAGCAACATCTGATCAACGCAAGGAGGGCCAGCAAGAGAACCATCCCTGGTATGGGCGGAAAAAGCGGCGGGGTCAGTGCCTGAGTTTATGACCAATCAGAAACCAGGATGGCTTTTCTCCATCCTGGTTTCCATCCCACAGAGCCTAGAATCATAGGGTTGGAAGAGACCTTGGAGGTCTTCTAGCCCAACCCGTCTATCAGAGGATACGCCGTCTATCCCATTCTAGAGAAATGGGCTCTTCTTAAGAACCTCCAGTGATGGAGCACCCACAACGTCTGCAGCCAAGTTATCCAATTAAATGTCAGGAAATTTCTCCTTAGTTCTAGGTTGCTTCTCTCCTTGATTAGTTTCCATCCGTTGCTTCTTGTCCTGCCTTCAGGCGCTTTGCAGAATAGGTTGACCCCCCCCTTCTCTGTGTGGCAGCCCCTCAGATATTGGAAGACTGCTATCATGTCCCTCTAATCCTTCTCTTCATTAGACTAGACCAGTGATGGTGAACCTTTTAGACACCGAGTTCCCAAACCCCTGTCTGCACCTGCCCCGCCCCGCCCACTCCACCCCACCCCTGTTCCATCCAACCTGCCTCTGCTCTGCCCCCCGCCCCACCCACCCGCAGGGCCTACAGTTTCCACGGCCCGCCGCAGCGGCCCTGCAGCGCCATGGCAGCCATGCCCTCCACCTGTGCCCCGCAGCATCATCTGCGCACAATGGGGCGCGAGGGCTGAGTCTTGTCTCTGCTGCCCGGCTGCCATATCCTTGGCTGCACTGCTCTGCGCGGGCCGCGCTCAGGGGCAACTCTCCTCGGGGGGGGGGACTGATAGTGAGGAGGGTCCGCGGGGGAAGGCGGGGCTGGGTGGTGGCTCGCGTGCCCACAGAGAGGGCTCTGCGTGCCGCCTCTGGCACGCGTGCCATAGGTTCGCCACCACTGGACTAGACACACCTAGACCAAGACGCTGTAGATACTGAGATATTGCTGAAGGATGCAGGCCAAACAGCTTCCTTTATGAGGATGTCTTCTTGGGTAGAACAGAATAAAACTTGAGTTTCCACGAGGTCTTTTTCTTCCCTTGATCTACCTTGTGCCTGTTTGGCCTCCACCAAGCTTTTCTGTGACCTCGTTGCTCTTGTTTCTTCCTAGTTCTCTGCTTACACCTCTGGAAAGCTGCCATCTTTCTTCTGAGCCCCCGAGCCCCTCCCCTCCCAAACCGTTCGCACCCTGCAGGTCCACCCAAACGAGCAACCCCAGGAGCAGAGGGGCTGCCCACCCAAACCCTTCCCTCTCCTCCCTCCACCTACCAATGAAGGTGAAGAAGATGGCAAAGGCCACAATGTCCCAGTTGGTTTGGAAGAGCTCCTTGCTCTGCAGGCGGCTCAGAGCATCGTTGATCTGCCGACTGATGTCTTCGGCCACGTTTTTTTCAAGGGTCCCCATCTCGCCCCCTCCGCGCACCTACAGCCAAGAGCTGCCCAGAATGGAAAACAGACCATCAGCACAAACCGGACTTCTGGGTTGTGGGAAAGCGTTCAGTTCAATCACGGGAAAGCGTTCAGTTCAACCGTTCACGCGTGACGAAAGGTGGTTATAAAACGGGAAGGGGAGAGGAGAGTCAGGCTGCACCTGAATGGAGAGGGCCAACCTCCTACGAAGAGGTGAAAGCATGCCACTGTTTTAGAAGACAGAATACAGAATAATAGAGTTGGAAGGGACCTTGGAGGTCTTCTAGTTCAACCCCCCCAGGTTTTCAGGTTTTCAAAAACAAGAACAATTATTATTATTACTATTTCACTAACTTCTATGCCGCCCTTCTCCCCACGGGACTCAGGGCGGCTCACAGCATATTAAAAACAACACAAAAAACATTTCCCCTATAAAACCAATTAAAAACCAAATATATTTATGGCTGTGTCATTATTAAAATCTTTAAAAAATTATTCCCTATTTAAAATTCACCCTAGGTCAGTCCCGCTTGCTGAAAAANCGGCGGAAGGTTAGGAGATCCGGGATCGTCCGGATCTCGGGGGGTAGTTCGTTCCAGAGGGTGGGGGCACCCACAGAGAAGGCCCTCCCCCTGGGGGTCGCCAGCCGACACTGCCTGGCCGACGGCACCCTGAGGAGGCCCGCTCTGTGGGAGCGTACCGGTCTGTGGGAGGGAATCTGTGGCAGAAGGCGGTTTCTAGCCCTGAACATGACAAGTCAGCTTCCAGAAGAACAGAGTTGGAAGGGACCTTGGGGGTCTTCTAGTTCAACCCCCCAGGTTTTCAGGTTTTCAAAAACAAGAACAATGTTTCCAGCCCTCCTGAACATGACAAGTCAGCTTCCAGAAGAACAGAGTTGGAAGGGACCTTGGGGGTCTTCTAGTTCAGCCCCCCAGGTTTTCAGGTTTTCAAAAACAAGAACAATGTTTCTAGCCCTCCTAAACATGACAAGTCAGCTTCCAGAAGAACAGAGTTGGAAGGGACCTTGGGGGTCTTTTCGTCCAGCCCTTTGCTTACGCAGGAGACACTATACCAGTGATGGCGAACCTTTTAGAGACCCAGTGCCCAAACTGCAACCCCAAACCCACTTATTTATCACCGGGTGCCAGGTGGCCGTGGCCGTGGTGGTCATGGCAGACTGGGTGGCCGCGGCCAGGGTGACGGGGGCCAGTCCCTCGCCATCTCTGGGGCACGGCACACGTGCCCACAGAGAGGGCTCTGAGTGCCGCCTCTGGCACGCATGCCATAGGTTCGCCACCACTGCACTACACCACTCCAGACAAATGGCTGTCCAAACTCTTCTTTAAAATTTCCAGTGAGGGAGTACCCACAATTTTGGAAGGCACTGTTCTGTCCTAGCCTACGTCCGTTCCACTGATTAATTGTTCTGATTGTCAGGAGATTTCTCCTTACTTCTAGGTTGGATCTCTCTTTGATAAGTTAATTTAATTTAATAATTTAATTTATATACCGCCCTTCTCCCGTAGGACTCAGGGCGGTGCACAGCATATTAAAACAGATACAAACAAAATACATCAAAAAACAAAAAACCCCATAAAACCAAATTAAAAGCCAAATATTGGAAGCTGTGTGTCAATTAAAATTTTCTTAAAATCATCCCTATCTAAAATCCTCCCTAGGTCAGGCCCGCTTGCTGGAAAAGCCATGTCTTGAGGGCGCGGCGGAAAGTAAGGAGATCCGGAATCATCCGGATCTCGGGGGGTAGTTCGTTCCAGAGGGTGGGGGCACCCACAGAGAAGGCCCTCCCCCTGGGGGTCGCCAGCCTACATTGCTTGGCCGACGGCACCCTGAGGAGGCCCGCTCTGTGGGAGCGTACCGGTCTATGGGAGGGAATCTGTGGCAGAATATAAGTTACTTCTTGTCCTGCCCTGAGGTGTTTTGCAGCATACATTGAGCCCCCCTCTTCTCTGTGGCAGCCCCTCACTATCATATTCTCTCCCCCCCCCAATCACACACACCTTTCCCCAGGTTTTCAATCTCTCCTACAGCCCCCATCCCAGCAGATTCCTCCTTTTAAAAAACCCAAACAAACTTCAAAATAAACAACACAAATGGATGTCTCAAGTTCCCTTTACCCTTTTTTTTTTAATCCCAGGGGCTCTGACGGATTTACCTGTCCCCCCCAGGATTTAAAAGCTCAAACAGCTGGCCAAGAACTAGAGGGCAAGGTTTCCTTGAAGAAGAAGCAGATCTACGAGGAAGTTGAAAAAACAAACTGGAAGAAAACGTGGGGTAAGTCTTGGATTTATAAGGCACCTTGCCAAAACAAAACAAAAGAGAGAGAGAGAGAGAGCCAATCTAGGACAGAAAGGAATTAATTAAACAACTACCTACCGCTGTCGATTCCTGGGAAATGTTGTGGAAAAAGTAATCTGCAAGCCTTTCTGGGACTATTTTCCCCCCCCCCCGTGGTGCCTATGGTGACAGGTTCTTTTCTTTTTGTTTGTTTTCACTTCCTTGTTCCTGTTTCTGCTTAAGCAAGAGGTTGATTTACAACAGATTTACAAGGTGGACACACCCTCTTTCTCCTAGGCTAGGTAAAGAGAAAGAGAAAAGAGGCGGACCTAATCAGAGCAACTCTATTTGACGCGATGGTCTTCTCCTTAGGACCACCAGTGTTCCTCAACCTTGGCAAATTTAAGATGGTGGACTTCAGTTCCCAGAATTCCCCAGCCAGCATGTTTTAGACCAGTGTTTCTCAACCTTGACAATTTTAAGGCATGTGGACTTCAACTCCCAGAATTCCACAGCCAGCAACGCTGGCTGTGGAATTCTGGGAGTTGAAGTCCACATGCCTTAAAATTGTCAAGGTTGAGAAACACTGTAATTTAGACATTCTCCATCTCTTAGCTGCTACTTGGGGAGCCTCTAGATTAGGCATGTCCAAACTTGGCAACTTTAAGACTTGCAGACTTGCAAGGCTGCTGTGGGAAGTCAGCCCCCCTCCCCCCGAGAAAGAAATATTTTTGGAAATATTTAAAAGGCAGAATATATTTCCCTAAAGGGTTTTAAAAAGCAGAAACCAACCCTGCCCCCAAGTCTCTCTGTCCCAAACAGAAACCAAGTCTGCAGAAATGCAGATGTGATAATCTTGTCAGAAAGACTGGAATCAGGAAACTGGGATTAGGAAGAAAGATCCCTAGAATCAACACACCAAAAATCTGAGAGTCATCAGCCACAGCCCCAGGGAAGCAGGATATGACCTTTGGGACATAATAGGATTAACCCACCACCATCAGAATACCAGAAAGGCACACTCAGTCTCAGGTCAAAGTTCATGCCACAGGAACAACTCCAAACAAAAGGCTCCAGAGGGTATAAAAACCCACTCCCTACATGTGCTCTCTTTCTCTTTTTTCTTCCAGAGCCATCTTTCTGTCTGGCTCTCCTCTTCAATAAACTGCAACCTTCTTTCTAAAGCAGTCGCCATGTTGTTTATTCCCGGCTTGGACTGAACCATGATGAAGATTTTTCCTTCAACGCTGGGGAATTCTGGGAGCTGAAGTCCACAAGTCTTACAATTGCCAAGCATGGAGACTTCTGATCTAGATTTCAGCAGATCAGATCTGGTAGTCTTGGCTTATCCATGTTCTTCTTTGGTTAGGGATCTGTGACAGAATTTCTGTATCACCAAGATGTGCCCCCGTGCATTCAGGTAGATTTGTTCTCGGCTTGCACAGCAAAAATGAAGTAGGCTAAATTGTAGCTTGTTAGTTTCTGCTTTAAGGCGTTGTGTGAAGGTAGGGTCAGCTGTGGGAACCTTCTAGGAGGATGTTTTTCAAATTTGGCCACTTTAAGATGTGTGGATGTCAACTTCCAGAATTCCCCAGCCAGCATGTTGGCTAGGAAACTCTGGAAGTTGAAGTCCACACGTCTTAAAAGTGGCCAAGTTTGGAAAACAGTGTTCTAAGAAATAATTAAACTTCTATTTGCAAGTTATGCGTTAGCTCATCCCAGCATGGAGCTGTAACCAAGCCCACCCGACAAATGCATCTGCTTTGCATTTCCAAAGAGCTGGTTCTCATTTTCCTATTACAAGCAAACCAAACATTGAAATGCCTGTGAAACATTTTAGTGGCTGCTTTTCCAATTCAATAAATGTGAGAATCAGGAAGAAAAATGTAGGTTTGGTTATTGAAAAGTCCAGCAGGGGGCGATGTTGCACTATTTATCATGCAAAGAGAGTCTCTTTTTTTATGAAGAGGTTCACACTGCATCAAGCCATGGCTTAACAGATAACAGACTAACAGAGTTGAGAGAGACCTTGTTAGTCTTCTGGGCCAACCCCCTGCTCAGGCAGGAGATCCTATACCATTTCAGATAGGTGGCTGTCCAGTGATGAAGTATCCACAACTTCTGGAGGCAGGTTGTTCCACTGGTTAATTGTTCTAACTGTCAGGAAGTTTCTCCTTAGTTCTAGGTTGCTTCTCTCCTTGATTAGTTTCCATCTGTTGCTTCTTGTCCTGCCTTCAGGCGCTTTGGAGAATAGCTTGACCCCCTCTTCTTTGGGGCAGCCCCTCGAATATAGGAACACTGCTATCATGTCACCCCTAGTCCTTCTTTTTACTAGACTAGACATACCCAATTCCTGCAACCGTTCTTCATATGTTTTACCTTGCTTAATAGGGTGGACTGTAAGGTATAGACACAAAAGGTAAGGATGCCGTACTTCCTGGTCATTCTTTCTGGACCAGAGGAGGAGATTCTGGCAGGACCCTTGGTTAACAGCTATCCCTTGTGGTGTCCATTCCTAAAATTTAATTTTCCCATCCTCTTTTTGCTGAGTTTTTGCTGCAGCATGATTGCTTTTGTGGTGAGAACTTTGCAGGCTCTAAATTGGCGGTGGCCAATTTGCTTGGACTGTTAGTAGTTCAGATTCTTGTAAAAAGCTTAAACTTGCAAAAAATCTATATAGTCACTTGAATTGCCTGGACTCCTGATTTCCAGTGCTTGATTATCTATCTATCTATCTATCTATCTATCTATCTATCTATCTATCTATCTATCTATCTATCTATCTATCTATCTATCTATCTATCTATCCATCCATCCATCCATCCATCCATCCATCCATCCATGAGATGACCAGGCTGAGCCCAAGGGAGGGGTCAAACATGTTATCAGTCTTGAGTCCCTTTGCACTCATAAAAGATCTACGTCCAGCCCACCTTGAATTCCATTGGCTCTTATCTACTGCCAATTTGCTTGGACTGTTAGTAGTTCAGATTCTTGTAGAGACTTAAGCTTGCAATAAATCTATATAGTCACAATTGCCTGGACTCCTGATTTCCAGTGCTTGATTATCTATCTATCTATCTATCTATCTATCTATCTATCTATCTATCTATCTATCTATCTATCTATCTATCTATCTATCTATCTATCTATCCATCCATCCATCCATCCATCCATCCATCCATCCATCCATGAGATGACCAGGCTGAGCCCAAAGGAGGGGGTCAAACATGTCATCAGTCTTGAGTCCCTTTGCACCCACAAAAGATCTAAGTCCAGCCCACCTTGAATTCCATTGGCTCTTATCTACTGCCAATTTGCTTGGACTGTTAGTAGTTCAGATTCTTGTAGAGACTTAAGCTTGCAATACATCTTTATATCCACTTGAATTGCCTGGACTTTCTGATTTGACAGTAGCCATGTCATTGCCTTTCCAACTTTCTGCAGACCATCGTCTTGCCTTATCAGAAGCAGAAATTCTCAATGCGCTATGAAGTAGACCAAATAGCAGCGCTGCATGCACAGACAGAGGGGCTGCCAATCAGCTTCCTTGGCTGATCCCCAGTTCCTTGCATTCATTTGTTTTTTCTTCATTCCTGATTTGCACCCAAAGTATATATATATATCTTGTTCTCAGAATGGCTAATTCTTCTCTTAATTAAAAACAACCCAATGTAGGGCCCCCTGGCCATATACAACAGCTCATGAATGTTAAAACAGGGGCTTTTAAAAGTGATACTATGCAAGGATATGGTGGGGGGGACCCCTTCTTTGCATTTTCTCACATTTCCTTTACAGAATCAAAATATGCTCTGGCTGTTCAGAAATGTGTATGCTGCCTCCTTCTATGGAACTGAAGAAACTGTCTCCCAACTTCAACAAAAAACACGGTCTCATCGATGGCCCAAGTGTGCAGCTTGTGTCATCCAAAAATAAATATTTCTGTAAGAATTTTAATCCAAACAAATCATAGAATCATAGGGCTGGAAGGACCTTGGAGGTCTTGTAGTCCAACCCCTGCCTGAAGCAGGAGGTCTTAGGAATCTACATCAATATTTTTCAAACTTGGCTGATGGTGCGTTTGAAACTCCTACTATTTTTTTTTTATGTGAAATCCTTAGTACTATTCCCTACTTCTCTGGATGTTGGCTGTTGCAGAGGATGTGTTCTGGTCTTTTTCTTTCCTTCTTCAGTTTTTTATTGTCTCTTTTGAAAGGTGAATAAATGTGGTTTATCTTTATGTGCCTGTTGTTGGCTGATTACTCCGAGTGCCAGGCTTCCAGGAATTCTCTAGTGGTTTTGAATTGAGCTTGGTTGGTCCAGGATGCTGAGTTTCCCAGTTGAAAATATGGTTATGCCTGTCCAGATAACACCCAGATAAGCATGGCATAACACCAGACAAACAATCAAGCGGAAAACAATATCTTAATCAAGCTACTGATTAAGAAGAAAATTGCTCCCCCACCAACACTGGCAGGTTAAGCTATTGTATATAAACAGAGAGCAAACTCCACACTTACTTGCACGGATGACGTTACATAGTTGGGCAACAAAATGCCTGCAAGAAAACAACCAAGCTTAGTTCAATCCTGAGCTACATACATCCTCTTCTTTTGGAACTATTTGCACATTGACTTTTTGACCATCTCTGTAGGCAGCCCTCTGTCCAACAGCCCAAGAAGGTTAAGGAGCCCTTGTTCCTGACCATCAAAAATCTGTAAGCACCCAGAGATACCCATTTGCCATTAAAAGAGAGACTTTGATCATCAATAACAATCCTGAACAAGTAAAAGAAACAATGATAACATGGGCTAAAAACTTTGGGCACAATATAGATGTAATTGTTCTGACAGATGAAACTCTTCAAAGAACTTTGAGGCATTGTTTACCTTAAAGAATCTTTATTCGAGTAGCATAGTATCGGCATGTACATAGGCAAAGCCAAAATCTGAATTCCTCTCCCCTGAGCACATAGTATTAAGCACAATTCCCTCCTCTAATAATTAACAGTCATAAATCACATTCTCCAATTAGTTTGACATGCAGGCTTTCCCTCCTGTTCTCCAACTGCCATTTCTTATCATCTCTTATTTCAAAAAACCTTGGTTCTCACATTATTACAATATTGTTATGTCTAACTAACTCCCATACACATCCCCCCCAGTATTATCTAATTCCAACTCTAATTCTAAAAGTAAAACATAAGAAGGAAAATGGCTGCATCTCCATATATTGTCAAAGCAAGAAC